CCAGTTACGCCTCTGGTGCTGTTTTGCGTGGCAGACACTCCCACTGATGACTTCACTGTATCCTTTTCAGGATGTGCAATTCGTTTCCGACTTTACTATTACTTCATGTTCCCTAGGGCTATTCCTCAACTAGACAATTCTTTTATTTTTCTACCGAGGGTAACAATTTTCAATATGATGGAGAATATGCCCCAAATGTATGTGGGAATTGTTTGGTACCAAGTATCGTGATAGTTAGCTAAATAGTTGCTTACAAAAATGAAAAGGAAAAGAGCATTAAGAAGCCGTCTGAAGTATATTGATTATGTTACATGCATATTCGTAGATATCGGGGGCAATGTCACATGAAACCGTTAACTCATGGTATAGGCAATAATAGAAGCAAAGCCCGCTGAGACTGGGCTACAAGTACGTAAAAGACAGAGAACAACAGAACCACCATGACAAAGCCAGTCCGATGGACTAGACTTCCTGCTGAGTCACGCTGGGTGCTTGGGGGATCTTCTCGTCCATTCCAATATCGGCAGCAAAGGTGCTGTGAGGCTTCCACTTAGCGGAAGTGCGGGGAGTGGTCTCTTCCATCATCTTGTCAACCTGCTCCAGGGTTAGACCCTTGGTCTCGGGAATGAGGAAGTAGGTGTAGACAAAGGCGCATGTGCACAGAGCGCCCCAGATGAAGAAAACCTTAGCGCCGAGGTCACCCTTGTCGGCATCCGTCATGTAAGGAGTGATGACTGCGATAATGCAGTTCCAGAGCCAGTTGGAGGCGGTGGAAAGGGCCACGCCACGGGAGCGGATGGGCAGAGGGAAGATTTCTCCAATAACGACCCAAGCGCCAGGGCCCCAGCTGCTGGCAAAGAAGGCAATATAAATGCAAATAAAAGCGATCATTGCACTGACGGCCTTGGGGTTGCCGCCGTCGGTGACACCAATAATGGCGACGATGAACTGGCAGACAACCATACCCAAGGCACCCCAAAGGAGCAAAGGACGACGTCCGTATCTCTCGATGGTGTAGAATGAGAGTGGAGTGGAGAACACATTGACAATTGTGGTGATCATGCTGATTAGGAAGGGGTCATCAATTGTGCCAAGTTGTGTGAAGAAGGTGGTGCCGAAGTAGAAAATGAAGTTGACACCAGTCCACCTATGGCTCATTAGTTGCATATTCAATTGCAGTGAGAGGAGAGTGAGACATACTGTTGCATCATCTGCAGCGAGGTACCCAGAATAGTACGACGAAGGTTGCTGTTAGGGTGCCAAAGGCTGCCGCTGAAACAGCTGAACCAGGTGCTAAAGTATCCACCCTGGGGGATTACCATTTGTTCGTACTGGTTGTTGGCGTCGATCTCATTTAGCTCCATCTCGACAAAGTCCGAATCCTCGGGCTGTCCACGGATACGGGCCAGCACAGTGCGAGCCTTATCCTTCTGGCCCTTGCGGATGAAGAATCGAGGGGACTCGGGCAGCATGAACAATCCAAAGGCCAAGATGAGAGCCCAGAGCATCTGGAGGGCAACGGGGATCCGGTACGACCCACTGTCTGTACGGTTCTGGGTACCATAATTCACGCACGAGGCCAGCATCAAACCAATGGTGATACAAAACTGGTAACCCGAGACAATGGCACCACGGACCTTGCGCGGTGCAATCTCAGACATGTATAGAACGATGATAGCGGAGACAAATCCGATACCGAAACCAGAAATGAGACGACCGGCAACGAGAAGTGCAATGCTGCTAGAGGCGGTCTGCAAAACGACACCAACGATAAAAATGGCACAGCCGGCGATGATTGTAATCCGACGACCAAACCAATCAGCTAGATCACCGGCGATGAGAGCACCAAAGAAGGTTCCAGCGGAGAGAATGGAGACGATGAGCGACTTTCGGGAGGACGGGATGACGAATAGCTTCGGATCGGTAGTGGCAGGATCCTAGGTGCGGTTAGTGGGATCCTAGAAACTTGTGGGCAGGTATTGACACTCACAAGACCTTCGAACTGCTGGATGAAGTACTCCATGCCGAGAACACCGTTGATGTAACCAGAGTCATAACCGAAGAAGATACCACCAAAAGCAGCAAAGGCACACATCAAGTAGGCCTTGAATGTTACCGGGGCCTCGACACGCGTGGCGTCGACGGCCCCAGAGGTGACCGCTCCACCAGGCATGGTAGCTAGTCGATGAGGATAGATGTGGGTAAGAAATCCAGAAAGAGACAAAGTGAGATGTCTCAAAAGTAAGAGAATGTAAAGTGAGAGGTGAATGGAAGATGAGGAGAGGAAGGGACTGGGGGTGGGGGGAGGAGAGGATTTATATTTTATGTCAGGTCATCCCCAAACTCCCCCTTCCCCCAATATCCCGGGAAAAAAAGAGAAAAAAAAAGCAAAACTACGAAAAAATAATAATAATATAATCTCATCTAATCCATATTCGGCTTGGTCACTATCGGCCTAAAATATAAAGAACCTAGAAATCGGTTAGAATGACTACTATGTAGCCAAGTCGGCTCTAGAAATTTGACCACACGATAGAAACGGCAAGTATAGAAAACCGGGGAAGTGCCGCATGGTCCCAAGCCATAAAACTGTGAGACAAGGTGATCTGATTGGTTAGAAACCCCATAATTGATCCGCTGATTCTTGTCTCATTACAAGAGAGTCAACGTGAAAAAGATCCCCCCCACTGAAACTAAGTAGGAGGTTGGACGTCTAGAACCAAACAGAGAGCCTCGGGTTGATAAACCACAGATGGCCCACTTTAGGGTCCGCGGGGAAATCAACTCTGATTGGTTGGTTGCCGTGGGACTGTGCACGTGAATACCTTTTTTCTTTTGAAACTCCACAACCCCAGACATATCTTTCTTCCCCATGTTATTCTTATTCCACTAGTACCCCTAGGGGTAATTCTTTTCTTATAGTTTATTTACTAATGGAAAAGACAGCTCATTTATGAGTCTGATGACCTGAAAGGAACGACAGTTCACATTTCAACACCAGACTAAAAACTACCACTCCGTATATTCACACCAATGTCACATTGAGGGCAAGCCATACAAAGCACAGACCTTAACAACGCCACAAAATCCCACTCTCCCCTTTACTCGAAGGGAAAAAAAACCAGTCTTGGCGTAAGGCAAGCTGACTATGGGGTTAGTACGGACAGGATATACAGTAAGAATGATCATAGTAAATTAGTTTCATGACTGCTACCCTTTTACCGAGTGTATGTTGCTAGCCGTGTATGTTGCGTAGTGAAAAAAGCAATAAAAATACGACCAAGACTGTCAAAATGCGAATATGGCTCGCAGTTCGGGCATTGCCGAGCCAACTAGTGGGTTTCTCAGAAACACAAAAATTTCTGATGGCAGAAGTAGTATTTCGAGAGTTTATCCGGTTCTCTCCACGGGAATCCCAGCCAGTTACAGGGGAGGCCCGAACTGCCTGAGCCTTTCAACTCCGTATTCTGTCTTGGCTATATCTTGGCTACCATCTTGGCTATCACGTGGTAGAGTTTTTCCAGTCTGTCCCGTGCCGGACATTGCCACGAAATGAACGAGCGGCATATTGTCGGGATGATTTCGTGCTTGTTGTCTTGGCTACTTTGCGTTGCGACAGTTGCGACAGCGCGCTTGAGTGTGGCATGCTATTCGATGTCGGAAAATGTGACTTCTACTAAACTTCCGAACCTTTCCCCCCACTTTACCTCAATTCTGGAACGGCCAGATACAGCAAATGCTACCCCGTGCCTCATCCACGGGTCTGCGCTCGGCTTACGGAGTACAAATGGACCGATTCATGGGAAACTTGCCATGTGGTCTCGGCTGAAATGGTGGTACAATATGAGGGACCCACATTGGCCATATCCGTGGACTATGGGGATATGGGGACCGAAGTCAGCGGAGCTGAAGGAACTGGGATTCTCCGGCCGAAAAATAAACGAGAAAATGGAGGGAGCCGAGAAAATCATCTCGGATGCCGGTGAACACTTTCTATTAGAACGGAGATTTGTGATTATTTTGAGGGGAAAATATCCATCGATATGGGGACTCGGTAGTTCCCGAAGATATACTTTTGTACTACTCCATACTTATTTGAGAACATGGAGAAGTCTCCGGATCCCCCAGCCTTAGGTTAGCTTTTCTGGGGGAAAATACTACCTCAGGACTTTCCTTCAACGCTGGATCTGATTACCGCTATAGACTTACTATATTATTACTTGCCATTATCAATTTCCGCTTTTGGATTTCAATACATACATGGCCTTTGACTATGATTCGTGACATCTCGTGTTTTTTATATTTTAATAATTTCTCTGGTTTAACTGACACATTCATTTTGACACATCTTTTGAGTACCGTGGATTGGATCTGTACATATTGTCCTACGTTGTACTCCGTACAGCGGTCTCGAGTCCAGGGCCAGAGTTAAACATGGTAAGCACGGTACTTCCTGTGTCGTTGCAAACGAGGAACCGCCGAGTCAATTCTTCATCTCCTCCAAACTCTTCCGGTATCCTGACTTGGGCATGTAGCTGGTTCTTCTTAGTTAATAACCCTAAGCCCTTATTGATATAGCTCAGACTGTGACATACCTCGTGCATCCCGAGAACGTTTGAATAAGGAAATGATTCCGCCACAGACTGCGCCATTTGTTGAAGCTAATAGTCATGATTAGCCCCGAACAAACGATAGTACTGTATAGGGTTATATAGTATTTGCCTGGAATGCGTGTGTCTGTGTCATCTGATGATAAAACAAGCCCTGAAGATATTATTAGCATGGGCCAGTACAATATCCGATATAAATCCAAACTCATCCGAACCCATATGAGAGATATACTGACTGTCGTCGGGTATACTTCCTACCTTCAATCTATCACTTCTCTCTTACTTCTCTCTCACTTCTCTTTCACTTCACCCTCGCTTCTCAATCTCACTTCACTCTCACTTCTATGTCATTTCTTGCCGCGTTTCTGCTGTCGTCAAGCCCGATCCGGCCTATATCTTGCGGAGCGCGCGCTCCAAATCTTCAACCATGGCGAGGCCCGCCCCGGCCTTGTCGCCCTGAACGTTAAGACTGACCTCCGAGGTACTGATAGAGGACCGAGACGAATATGTGACTTACCTCGCACCACTTTGTTGCTGTCTTTGGAACAGAAGGATCCTCCCAGGGGTTCTTCTCCACTACTTGTCCATCCACCAGGTACAGTGGGGCTTCGCCTTGCTGACGTGGTTCAAGATTTCCATCCTTGTAAAGTCGGATAAGGGGTTCAATGTTTATACGTTGCAGTTGACCAAATTCTGTTTTCAGATAGGCCTCGAGTTGTGCCACGCGTTCTAGGGCTTGGACAACGTAAGGGATTGGACACGCAGGACTGAAATCGGGATGTGGGTTTGCCATGATGTAGAGTGGACAGTATGTAGTTGCAAGGAGCTTGGATAGAGATCTGGGCAGGTTATGGGCGTGACTGGGATAGGTTAATAATAAGAAGATCATTGGATACCATTGGCCCCTAGTTCGATTGACCGGGGTAAATGTCTCTCGTAGGCAAGACTAGGTTATTATATGATTATAGGTTTATCGTTATCGATCGGGTCTCGTAGACCGGTATTAGGCTGTTTCGTAGGGTAGCCGTCCCTATTACCTAAATCGACTATCTTCGATGGATCGGTCACCGATTTAGCGTACCGGGGTTTCGTTTAAGGTCTCGGGGACTAGGGTCTCGGGGACTAGGGTCTCGGGGACTATTATTGTTACTATATAGTAAGAACCGACTATTATATAGGGTAGTCGCCCCCGTATTCCGTATCGGACGTTGTTAACAATCGGAATATATTCTTCTCCGGAAGATTTATCCTATCTAGCTTCAAAAACGAAGTAGGTCTAGGGCGAGACTTTAGAAGAAAGGTAGCTTTTATATAGGGTTGCCGTCCCTATATTCCGAGTCGGACAGCGTTAATAGTCGGATAGCGTTAACAACTAGAAGTATTATGGTTTTCGTCGGAAGGTTTACTCAGTCTAGACCGGCTTCTGAACGGAAGAAAAATCTCGAAGAATCTCTTGAGCTAGTCTTATAAGAATAGAAGTAGGTCTAGGAAAGAAACTTTAGACTGAAAATTGTAAAGGTAAAGCTAAACGGAGCTTTTGCCGGCGGGGGTTTCGGTTCGAAGGCTTGAAGGTAAAAGCTTTGGGAAAAAGTGTTTTGTCTAATTCGTAAGGCTTGCTTGCTAGTAGTCCGTCTAGTAAGGAAAAGAAAGGTGAAAAAGGTGAAAAAGGCGAAAAAAAATTTGATGAGATCTCGGAGAACCGGCGGTTTCGGCGTATACCGGGGGTGCCGGGGGTAGCGGGCCTCGGGGGCCGCTACCCCGGCTAGAGGGTCTTAATAAAACATTGCTCGGAGGAAATCGAGCAAAGGACTCATAACCTAATAGAGAATCTACGTGGTTGAGATCGGAGAAATAACACTGTAGGATTCTCTGCTTGCGGTTGGACGAAGAGGAGAAGGAGAGAAGGAGAGAAAGAGAGACTATCTACTGCACAAAGAGGATCTGTCCCAAGTGGGGCCCTGGGCCTCAGGCACTCAGGCACATTCTTAACCTTGCCTCGTCAAGATTCGTTCCTCTCTGCTATAAATACTTAAGGCACCAGGTAATCGGGAATCCCCTTACTGGATAGCAATGTCAGAACAGGAGAGATAGATCTGACCAGTTTGGAAAGAGTTCCACTTCCAGGAGAGCAAAGTGTGGTTCGAGACGTAGTCTGGAAGCTTGATCTTCTTGGAGACAGTGTAACCACCGGCGATTGTTGTCTTGCAGGAGTTAAGCTCAGCATTGTCGACACCTTTACATTTGGTATCATCGAAGCCGTTGCAGGTGAACCAGTCATTGCGGTGACAAGCTTCGCCCTCACCACAATCAGCACTGTAGTCGCAGGTCTGTCCATCGACCCCGGTGCATTTAAGAAGACCTTTGTCAAAGCAGGCCTCGGCTGCCTGCTTCTCCTTTTCGGTTGGCAAGTAATCCGGGTCCAGGAATTTGTCCACGATAGATTGATCTTGGCAAATACGGTAGGTAAACATGCCTCCGTGATCACCGTTGTGGTCAACACACCACACGACGTCAATTACATCGCCGGCTGAGTATGTCTTGACCACTTTCTTGCCCCAGTCGCTGCCGGGCTGGTTGTAATCGACGCTCACACGGGCATTGTATCCGCAGGGTCCGCTGCGGCCGACTGGGGCTACGTCGAGATCGGGCCAAGAGGAAACGGGCTCGAGAATGGTGCACTCGGGACATGTGTCAGTTCCAGCCTAAACATTGTCAGTCAAAGGAACCTCTTTAATGCTCAGTTTATCCAAAAGTCTAACCTCAAATCCGAGCTTGGTTCGGCTGTCCGGGGTGACAAGGTAGCCATGTCCAGCAACAATGGTAGACAATGAGCCCAGAAGCACAACTGCGGCAGACTTCATGATGTTGAAGGAAGATGTAGTTTGTTTGAAGGAAAGTGGATGATTGGAATCGGATACAGACCAGACCAAGTGTTGGTTGGGGTGATGTCCTTTTATATTCGCATAACTCGCTGTTTTGTACTTCACCTATGTCGGGGCTGGGTTATTGCTGTACAAGATCTGAGCTTACATTTCTACAGGGTGCGGACAACAAGACCAATCATGACGACTTGTTTTATTGAATAGAGCACTCCGTGAACAGTCCAACTCAGCTAGGGCTTTGTGATGATCAGCGTTGACGATGCCAAGTGTAGAATGTGTGACCTGGGTTATTAAAGACACGATTGAATGATTGGATTATCCATCACGGTGAAATCTGATATTGCTCTCAAGTCCTCGCAACGCCTCTGAGGAAATTCCGGGCTTGGCAGTCGGTTGGCTGAAGGATGCGACGCCCGATATATTTCCGCCAATTAACAACTTTCAGGGCCAAAGGATTAGATCGAAGTGCACAAATACAACTTGTATAATTTTGGAAACGTCTTTATGAGTACCAATTCCTCTACATCACACGGGATAGTCGCTTTTCCCTCGAATTTTGCTGCACTGCGGCTTGGTTTTGGAATTGCCCTTTTTGTTCCTATACCACACACTTCATTTAACTGAAACCCTTAGCTTGGCCCTGGGAATGGTGGCTGCGGGGTATTTCAACCTCTCCAACCTTTTTTACGCCATGGCGCTCGAAAGAAAAAAGATCGCCGGTGCATCTCGGCTTTACAGGGGTTTCCCGACTATTGCCCGACGACTCATTGTTGTGTGCGCTTTTGGTAATTTCGATGCTGTACCCCTGATTGCATGCTGCAAATGTGCCCCGGAAAGTATATAGCATAAATATTATGTTCGAGTCTACAAAAAGGCTCCGAAGAGACAAGCTTCCAGGACTACCTAATATAGTTAGTCCTAAAGGGGGGTATTAGGGCGATCACATAATTAGATAGCTTCTTCTTCTCTATTCCCTTTTCTCTCCAGAGTCAATATTACAACCTTTGGGTTAACAATCTTCCTACGTAGCCTTCTCCTTCACTGACAAATTTTGGCAACACAGTCAAATCAAACCATAAATCCCAATAACTTAAACCAAATACAAGGAATTTTAAAAGAAAGGTTTCTAGTAACCATGACCATCCCATAAGGAGCGAACGATAGATTATTTATGTTTCGAATATAGAAGGCTAAAGCGATCGCCACTGTAACATTGGTCCTAGGGCAGGGGACGTTCTTTCTTTGCAGGTGGATTTCCCTCGCTGCAGATGATCACGGATCACGAGGACTACGAGGCTACTAGCCAGATCATAGCGGTACGAATAAGGATCCACAGTGCTTTGTTGTAATCATATCCTTCGAATCTTCTCGTACTCAGGCAAAGCCCAATTGACCATCCATTCACATTCGAGGATCTGCTTCGCAGAAGAGCGATTCTCAGGCCTGAATTTAAGCATTGACTTCAGCATCTTAAAAATAGCATCCCTCTCGGGTGGTTCAATGCGCAGCATCCCTTTCCTCTGTCGAGGCTCCTGCATATCTTGTTCGAATCTGTCCTCCCACGACCGGTAAGGGACCCGATTGATCGGCTTCCCATCTTCCGTGAATCTACTATGTCGCCCCTCCCATTTGTGCCACCATTCCGGGGGCAGCATACCAAGTGCATCGACTTGCTCGCAAGTAATGCTATCTTCGGTCGCAAACATGTCGTCAAAAAGTGAGTTCTGACCTATGATGTTATATAGAGAGCATCCGAGGGACCAGATGTCTGATGGGAATGACATAGGCTTATGTGGCTCGAACCGGACCTCTGGTGGTCGAGAAACAAGCGGAGTGTGGGACTCAAACCTCTGTTGCTTGGTCGGGGAGAAGGCCTCACCGAAATCGCCGAGAAGAATTTTGGCTTCTAGGAGTTTGAGTTTGTCACTTGCCTCACCAAGCCAGATTGGTAAAAGGGCCCGTGATGGGATATTCGATGGGAGCGGTTGCCCATCAAAACGTCTTATTGCTTCGAATTCCGGTTCTCCGTACTTTTTGTACAATTCCTCCACAGAAAGTTGGCTTAGGTCAAATGACAACTGGAGGAGAACATTTCCAGCATGAAGGTCTCCGTGAACGAATCCCTGGGAGTGAACGTACTCAACTGCAAGGACTAGCTGTGCCGCCAAGGCCCGAGCAACCTCCAATTGGAAAAGGCGGTTATATGAGGCATCTTTTGCCTCGGAGAGACTCATCCTTGCCGGGGTTGACACGTAACAGGGGTGCGTACCATTCGATCCTTGAATCTCGAATCTGTCTAGTACCGATGGTATCAGTCTCTTTCCTAAGCTAGTGCTTGAGCTTTGTTGCGAGTTGGAAAGTTCTGAAAGGACGCTGAATTCAAGCGGGTTCGAATCCGCGGTACACACTTTGATGGCGACATATTTGCCATCTTTTTGATCTCGAACCAGCCAGATCGTCGAGTACGTGCCGTGACCAAGTTTTTGAACCACTTGATAGCGATTGTGAATATGATCACCGATTGCCATGGAGTGATAACCTCCCACGCGATAGCTTTCCAGATTTTCCACTCCTTCGATGGGCTCATAAACATGATGCGAGGAATGATCACCCTTGGGAGAGTGAGACATAAGAGCAGCCATGTAGAAAAAGCCGCGAATTTGATTTTGGTAATTCTGAGTTTTTCTGGAAGTGGAACGAAGACGAGAAAGCAATAAACACGTCTGGGAAGGCCGAAATGGAGGTGAGATCAAATTCATCATGGTACAGCTAGCTCTGAAGCTGAATTCCACTCATGTTAAAACAATCGTTACAAGGTTGGGACACAAGCCTATCTCAGCTGCTCCTCCGCGCGTAGATAGTTAACAGGTTCATGTTCGAGGTTGCCCGAAGACACGTACGGCAGACAATTTAGGCCAAATCAAATTTGACAATGGGGTTTCTGCCATGCAGAAACTTAGTAATCGCCGCTATTAAAACCATACAATACTATTCTATCAACTTTATTCGACTTAGTTTTACCTAAAGGCTACTTATCCTGAATACTGTATAAAGGTATAGTCTTTACTTAGGTATTGTATATACGCCCCGTACGACTAAAGAGGGTATTGTTTTGCTAAGCGAAGCGAAGTAAATAATAGAATTTTTGAATTTACCCCGGAACTTAGATTTGAGATCTGGCTTCTGATTGGTCGAGAAACTCGGTACCTTAATACCTTATACAATACGTAACGCCTCTCTTAACTAACTAGTTAGGTGAGTAATTGATATTGATAGTGCAAGGCTCTCATCATACCACTACTAGGCAGCTAGCCTCGACCGGCAAGCTCCTTTTCATGCATGCTAGACTCGAGCTCCTCTCTCGTAGGCACGGTATCCAGTGCGTCGATAGAGATGTCAACACGAGGACCGGTGAAATTCTTTCTCCCGTCAACAAACCACTGGAACACGGAGATGATGATAATAACGGCAAATGCTGCAATGCAGTAATCTAGATAGGTACGTTAGTGGACAAACTGTCATAGATAACCCCACAGGTAAACTCACTCATACTGCTTCCCGTGACCGTGCTTGAGGGAGGGAAGACGAATAGGACGGTAGTCAAGGCGATATATGACAAAGCAACCTATTTATGATCAGAGATGTCCCACTTTATTCAAATTCGCTCATGACACCAACATACCAGATCGACAAACCACCCAAGTGTAGTGGGCAATTTCCATTTCCTTTCGGGGAGCGATCTGCGTCCCTGGAGACAGTTGATGGCAATGGGTATTCCATAGGACAGATCAAGAGCCACAACGGAGGCAGAGATAATTGCGTTGAAAGCACTAATTTCTGTTAGTTACCATTACCATTTGCGTTATCGCCATATGTGGTGATAATTACCTTGAAGATCCCAGGAAGATACATCCGAACGCGATCACGACAACAACAGTAAGAATAAGTGCATTGAGGGGCAATTTGAGTGTTGGGTGGACTTTTGCAAAGAACCGAGAGGCAGGAAGACCCCCATCTCTGTGAAGAGTTATTATATGCGTTGAAATCTAGAAAAAAGATCAAATACCTTGCAAAAGCAAAGATCATTCGGCTACTAGTGGTCATGACGCTGATTATAGCAAAGACCAAGCAGACCAGGGGTAACCTAGAACCTGGCGTCAGAGTGGAAGCACAATGGGGGAAAGTTTCACCACGTACATCAAAAGGCAGATACCTCCCACGTTGCTTTTAGTCGCATCGACCAGGATTTGTAGAAGTGGACCGGCTGCGGAGGTTGTCACTGTTTCCATGTTTCCTGCGACGAAGAGGAGGACTATCAAGAAGATAGAACCGGTGAACACACCAATGCCCACGCAGGTAACCATAATTTTCGGACCCTCGATGTCAGCGTTGGGCACCTCTAAAAAGTAATGTGTCAGTTCCTTTCTTTCTCTATCTTCTCAGACCTAGGGTAATACTTTACCTTCGATCATGTGTGCCACCGCATCCTAGATAAAGTCAGTTGGTTTGGTTTTGGTAATGCAATGACGATGATGACTTACGAAGGCAGTAACGCCAAGCCCGCCTTGAAGCAACTAGAATATCTATCAGTATCATTCCAGTATTATAGTGAGTGCAGTAAACGTACACCTAGAAGCCATGCAACTCCATCGGGCCCTGAGTTCAATTAGTGAAATCCTCATAATGGAGTTATCGGGGAGCCGTACAGCCTGTTGTATTGACAAAGTCACAGAACACGGAGCTGTGGGTGTCAGTTCTCCGCCATAACTTTGTACTGCTAGAGGTCATACTAAGCGGAGTTATAGTTGGGAGCAGCGCATGCGAGACACGTAATTGACACAATCACAAAACCCCCAATCGACCACATAACTGGATATGGTTAGAGATGGACCAAGCCAAAGTGGACGAGGGCAACGCACAAGCACCGCGGTAAATGACCGGCAAAATGGAGTTCATGAAAGCATTGATGGTGAAGGAGCCAATGGTCAATCCAATGTATATGAGAAATTGATGCCAGCGTTGCGGGACATAGCTCTGTATATTACGTTAGTACTGCGGTAAGAGTACGGGTTGGATTTCGGACCTCGTGAAGAACGGAAATGATGCCAACAATAAGCTGGCTAGAAAGAAGGGAGTTCGTGGCTACGAGGGCAACCTAGTCGTATGTGTTAGTTTAAGCACCGCATTGAATGATTGCCTTGCCTACCCAGCCTGCCACATTGATCCAGCCAGTAATCCATGATAAAATTGGTACTGTACTTGGCCACGCGACTTTCGATTCGTCAGTATGACCTGTGACCTGGTATCAGAGAGCAACGTACTAGCTGGCGTCAAAGTTAGCATTGGTTCAAGCCGTATAAATTTTGTAGATACGGAGACTTACCTGCAACCCAATGATACTGTCCACCGGCTCTGCGAAAAGAAAAAAGGAAGTCAGTCTGGTTGTATATATCGAAAGGAACTATGTCAGAGCTTACGTCGGATATGCTGAGAGAAATTCAGCCAGCGAACATGCGATACAAAGATTACAGAATCCTGCAGTGACCAGTCCTGGAATTTTCGTGTTAACGCCGTCTCAGAAAACAAATGTCTTCGAGATAAGCCCACCCCAAATTACACTTGTGCTTCCACCAGATGTAAGACTGATCGACAAACTGGCCGAAAGCGCAGTCCACGACTAGCCTAGTTAGCTAAATAACCCGGTCGCAATCCATGTCTAACGTACATTAAGAACCGCAAAGGCCAAACCAAGCATTGACCTAGAAAATTTCGTCAGCTGCAAGTCTTGCATATGCTGGCGCATTTCTCTTACCATGTCGAATGACTACGTTGGAGTTCTGGCCGATGGCCCATGGCGGCCAACCGGGCATCATCGCCTTGGAGTGGAGCGTCCTTCATAGTGGGATCAGGAGTCAAGGACGCAGAGAATATTTACAAATCCAAGAGTTGGGGAGATCATCAATCTAAGTATGTCTCCTATTCAAACGTATCAGGAAGGCATTGCCAGACGAGTTCTCTTTGTGGTTAAGCTCCGATAGAGGGCTATTCCATATGCGGGGAAGCTGTGGAACACTTATCTCAGAGGCTTGAGACGCTTATCACAAGTGTTTAGTTAAAGCGCTAGCTAGCTTGTCGCATGGACTTGCCCAACATCGTATAGTCTTACTAACACCAACTAAATAAATGGGAAAGGGGGCCCTTTAATTACATTCAATAGAGCGATATTAATGAATCATAGTGTAGAATGCACGTATTTCCCACTTCTTTTCATAGCCAGAGAGTGAAATGTTCAACCGAGAGTCGCCAAAGCTCTACATCGATACATTGTACGTGGAAAGATACGACATACAACGTACATTTTTGAAAACAATATTTGGCGAGTATAATATTGTTTTAAATTCAAGCTGATAAAATTTACTGATCATGTCGATACAGCATTAACTCCCCAAGATATGCCTATTCTCAGGGCATATAGTGCCTTGAAATCCATCAAATCCCAAACCCGTCAAACTCCACCCAAACGCGAATCGCAAATCGAGCAGAAAAATCCCATCCTTTACCTCAAGATTACCAGCATCTTGAAATCCAGATCCGATGATCATTGGTTGTAGGCGTCAAGTGCCTGCTGGACATCATGCAGACTGTTTTTGTCCCCGTATGCGTCCATCAACTGTTGGTTTCGCGCCATGCGTTCTTGTTCCTCCAGTATAGACTGTTCTCGCCGCGACTTGACTGCGGTGTAATAGTTGTATGCGCCGAAACCTGCACGTGCCAGAGTCAGTATGGTCCCTCCTAGGACATACAACATATGAAGAATACGCGGCGATTAAACATACCGAGACCAATTGTAGCCGCTAGAGGAAGGAGTCTAAATCAAACGGAGTTAGTTGAATCGACCAAAAAAGGGGGCGGCACAACTTACAGCCGCCCATTCCGAAGCTTGAGGCTGGAGGATGGAGGGTTTCCGTATGACTTGTTCGCACCGGGGAGAGCAAATTGAGACATGGTATATATGTATATATTTGTGTTTTGGAGAGTAGGTATGAAGTGTAGAAGTAAATAAGAGAAGAAGTAAAGTCGATTTCAGTTAAACGGAAGAAGCGGAATGCGGGGATTCATGACGTGAAAGGTCCGAGGATCGCTGCCGAGGATCGCTCCCGAGGTCATTTATACCTGGAGGTGATCAGACCACATCCAGGCCTCATCATACAATCAATTTTTAGTACAACATATGTTACATTAAAATCATAGTCGAGTCATCGTCTCGTGTGTGTGTGTATATGTGGTCCGCATTAGGAAAAGATCACACCCACCTCTTCATATTCTCTATAATTTATATTGTTAACTTCAAAAATTGTTTCAATTTCCTAGAAGTATCATATGAGAACTGAGACCTTAGGCCTGAAACATGATCATGCAAGCGTCTTAGTGGCCGTTGTTCTGGGGCGCAGGGGTTGCCGGACCCTCCGGGGTCACATAAGCCTGAGATCATTGGTCAGCGTAATTCTGGGGAAATTACCCTCCAGGGCCTACACGTCACACTTACCTTGGACATTCCACCATCGACAACAAAGTCCGTTCCATTCACGAAACTGCTCTCGTCGCTGGCCAGGAAAACTACAGCATGAGCCTGCTCAATGGGTTCACCAAACCGGCCAGTGGGGAAGTGCACCTCCCGACGGTACCGTTTAGCCTGGTCATCACCGAGCCAGTCTTGCAGAAGAGGGGTGCTAAATGGTTGTGAGCTAATACTCAGAAAAATCCAGTCGGAAAAACCTACTTCAAGGGGGCGGGGCACAGAGCGTTGAAACGGAATCCCTCACGGGCATGAACAATAGCCAACTCCCGAGTCATCGCCAGCACCGCACCCTTGCTCGCTGTGTATGCAAGCTGGGGAGTGGCAGCGCCAACCAGGGCGACGACACTAGCTGTGTTGATGATACTGCCACGGGTCTTCTTGTGACGACGTAGACTGAGGACGGCGTGTTTGCTGCCGAACCAGACACCCTTGACATTGATGTTGTGCGTGAGGTCCCAGATCTTCTCGGGGGTATCGATGGCATCTGCATCATTGGAGTGCATGATTCCAGCATTGTTGAAGATCACGTCAGTGCCTCCCCAGCTGTCCTGTGACTCAACCATTGCCTGCACATCCGACTCCTTGGACACATCACATCGGATGGACTCGACTCGAGGGGCGGAAGGAACTACTTCCTTAACTTTTGCTAACGCCTTTGCGAGGGCGGGCTCAGAGACATCGGCCATCAGGACATTAGCGCCCTCACGGGCGAAGAGGATACTGCTTTCGAGACCGATGCCACTATCCACTCCGAAATCGGTTAGGACTTTTGTGATTCTTTTTCCGATATTGTTGTTTTTCGGGGTTCAAATTATAGACATACCCGCCTGCACCTGTGATGATAGCATTTTTGCCTTGGAGACGTCCTTGGGGAGTAGTGGCAGCCATTGTGACCTTATCTTAGAGCTCTGTTTGTACAAATGGGATCTAGGTTAGCAATGACTCACCGCCAAAGCCACAGCAGTGTAATATATGAATGCAAAACGCTAGAGGGGAGGTCACCCACATAGACTGAGAATAATCGAATTAATATGAGAGTTGTCAATATCACCGAGTGTGTTGCGCCGAAGGTATGCGCGGGGCAACCGTGGAGCGTGGATCCCGTTAGGTAAGCGGTGACGATGTTGGCCCGAAGGGGTAAAGCGTCACCGCTATCTCGCTGATAAGCTTCTAAGCTGCCCAGGAGGGCAGTTACGCTGGTCGGAGTCCCCTCAACTTAATTGACCTGATTTATCCGATTCGCCTGGCTTGAAACCTGACTCTTATCGTTCTGTTCCTTCTTTTATCTTCCCCTTCCTTCGTTCTCCACAATAATTTAGATCCCTATACTCCTAATCTCACCCTTTGACACCATCATGTCGAGCCCCGCGGACCTCGAGGTCACAGCCGAGAATGTCGCCGAGATCCTCAAGAGTGATACAAAAGTGAAGGTGGCAGGAGTGGATGTGGATGGCATTCTGCGCGGAAAGCTCATGAAGAAAGACAAGTTCTTATCTATCATCACCGAGGGATTCGGCTTCTGCTCTGTCATCTTCGGCTGGGATCAACATGATGCGACGTATTATAAAGAGTTGGCCATCAGCAACAAGGAGAACGGATACCGCGACCTTGTCGCAGTCCCAGATTTACGCAGTTTCCGTCGCATCCCTTGGGAGAACAATGTCCCCTTTTTCCTCATCAGCTTTTTGGATCCAGACACACGGGAGCCGGTGTGCGCCTGCCCGCGAGGACTGATCAAGACTGCGGCAGCTAAAGCCGAGGCGGCGGGATATCGGGCGATGGCAGGAGGTATGTCGACCGAAGACCAGGCTATGTGCGATTCAATGGCTGATCATAATTACTTTACCCAGCGGAGTATGAATTCTATCAATTTCGCACGCCGGGCAACCATGCTAGCCCCGAACAAGGCGCATCTGCAACAGCCGCCTTCCTCCAGTCCAACCCGGTCGATGCGTTACCACCTGTGACAGAAGGAATGTTTGGTTATTCCCTCACTCGGCCCCTCCACAACCAGGATTACTACTATGGTATCTTCGACGCCTGCGAGCAGTTCCGATGCGATATTGAAGGGTGGCATACTGAAAGTGGACCTGGAGTCTATGAAGCTGTTAGTGACATGAGAAAGTGAATGGGTCGCATTGGGACTAAGCACGTCATAGGCATTACAATTTGGGGAAGCGAAGGATATGGCTGATAAGGCGGGGCTGTTCAAGTAGGATTATTTCTTTGCCAGCAGTTCGGATTGCTCTTTCATAACGGGCCATTGCTAACCAGGATGTTTGCATAGATACGTCGTCAAAGCATTCGGAATCAAGCACGGCATTACCCCATGCTTCATGGCCAAACCCCGACAAGGCCTTCCAGGGAACAGCGGACACATGCACATCTCCCTCGTCACAGCCGACGGAAAGAATGCCTTTATTCGCGATACCCCCGATTCATCCCCCTCTACCCTGATATCGCTCATCTGTCCGACTTGGGGCGACACTTCCTAGCTGGCCTCCTCGTTGGCCTACCGGACATCATGCCGATCTTAGCCCCGACGATCAATTCCTACAAACGCCTGGTAGAGAACTTCTGGGCGCCCGTCACGGTCTCTTGGGGACTGGAGCACCGGGCTGCGTCAATCCGTCTGATCACACCACCGACGGCCAGTCCGAAAGCGACCCGGTTCGAGGTGCGCGTACCAGGTGCGGACACCAATGCGCACCTCGTCCTGGCGGCGATCCTGGCATTGGGATGGCGCGGAGTCGAAAAGAAACTCGAGATCCCTGTGCCGCCTCTTGCCCGAGGCGAGGATATGGGCGGTGCCAGTGATAAGGGTGTGCGTCTGGCCAAGTCTTTGAAGGAGGCTGTCGTTACATTTACACGGCCGGAGAGTATCGCACGGGAAGTCTTTGGTGATTCATTCGTCGAGCACTTTGCTGGAACTCGGGAACACGAGGTGCGCTTGTGGGAAGAGGCGGTGACTGATTGGTATGTGATATCATCTACTGCGATATCCATTTGGATGCTGACTTGACATGTTCACAGGGAGATGAGGCGGTACATCGAGACTGTGTAGATGTTGCATTCCTCTTTATATTGATTTCCCGATTTACAGCAGACGCAGGATCTGGAAGGCATCAGGGGAAGAATTGTACATAGTCGCATTGGCCTAGAGATTGGAGGGTAAAGGCGCGTAAGGGCACGGCAGTAGCAGGGTTACTGTCCCAGATATATACCAAATGACTTTAAACATTCAATCGGAGGTTGATTTGCCACGAAGTTCATATGTTGTGTGTTGTATGTTGAGTCAAGATACGATCTCCCGAGCGACATCACATGCGGTCACATGCCGATGCATACAGGATGACATAGAAAACCGCCGGGACAACTCGGTTCGGATATGACTCTGAGAACCCTGCGATATATGGATGGTTAGAGACAGCCGCGGCTGATTGGAGTTTCCGACGTATACGGATAGTATTCTACCGCCACTTTCGGGTGAAGCAGGGGTGAAGGGTAAGGATAGGGGTTGTTCAAGGCTTTCTGCACTAGTAGATTCAGGAATTGGTCATTATCATTGAATATAAGAGCCAAACTATATAACTGTTAGATTTCCCCAAAACATGACGAGAAATAAATAGAAATAAACAGAAATCAAATAGTCTGATAAGACTCGGTGTGCGGCGAATACCGTTCTAATTGGGAAGTGAGGACGGTGCCGAATCCAACAAATAAGCTTAAAAAGGATGGGGGTGAAGGTGGGAGACGGGGAATGTCGGCCGAGAGGAAGAGTTTCCCGTGGGAAAGTCATTAGTTTGGATTGGGTTTTCAGTTCTGACAAACAGGAAGAGACAAGAGGAAGACACAGGAAGAGACACGGTCAAATGGCAAATTCGGCTTATCATTTGCGGGTCCAGAACAACCGCGGTAACTTTGGGTCTGACGTATTTGATACCCTCGGACAGATGGGCTACAATATCATACATATTATAACTCTTACCCTTTTCCATTCATTCTTGAATTCTTTGAATTGGTCAAATCCTTCTGTGAATAGTATATCATCTATTTACATATTCTATATATACACATCATGTCTCACGTCGATACACAGCTCAAGGATGTCGCTATCCTGGGCGGCATCAATAACGATGCTCGCAAGATCCTAACCAAGGAGGCATGCGCCTTTTTGGCTCTGTTGCATCGCACCTTTAACCCTACTCGTAAAGCTCTCCTCCAGCGCCGCATCGATCGCCAAGCCGAGATTGATAAGGGCAATCTTCTCGACTTCCTCCCTCAGACCAAGCACATCCGTGAGAACGACGCCTGGAAGGGTGCTCCTCCTGCCCCAGGTCTTGTAGACCGCCGTGTCGAGATTACTGGCCCAACCGACCGGAAGATGGTGGTGAACGCGCTGAACTCCGATGTCTGGACTTATATGGCTGATTTCGAGGACTCGAGCGCCCCAACTTGGGACAACATGGTGAACGGTCAGGTCAACCTGTACGATGCTATCCGCCGACAGGTCGACTTTAAGCAAGGTGAAAAGGAGTACAAGCTGCGAACTGACCGCACCCTGCCCACTCTGATTGCCCGTGCCCGTGGCTGGCACCTGGAGGAGAAGCACTTCACCGTGAACGGTGAGGCCATCTCCGGTGGTCTTTTCGATTTCGGTCTGTACTTCTTCCACAACGCTAAGGAGCTGGTCGCCCGCGGTTCCGGTCCTTACTTCTACCTCCCCAAGATGGAGTCGCACTTGGAGGCTCGTCTCTGGAACGACGTCTTCAACCTGTCCCAGGACTACATTGGTCTCCCCCGCGGAACCATCCGTGGAACTGTCCTGATCGAGACCATCACTGCCGCATTCGAGATGGACGAGATCATCTACGAGCTCCGCGATCACAGCTCCGGTCTCAACTGCGGCCGCTGGGATTACATCTTCTCCTTCATCAAGAAGTTCCGCAACCACGCCAACTTCGTCCTCCCCGATCGCTCCGACGTCACCATGACCGTACCTTTCATGGAGTCCTACGTGAAGCTCCTCATCAAGACCTGCCACCGTCGTGGCGTTCACGCCATGGGTGGTATGGCCGCACAGATCCCCATCAAGAACGACCCCGCCGCCAACGACAAGGCCATGGAGAGTGTTCGCGCTGACAAGCTGCGCGAAGTGCGCGCCGGCCACGACGGTACCTGGGTTGCACACCCCGCGCTGGCTGCGATTGCCTCTGACGTCTTCAACACACACATGCCCACCCCCAACCAGCTGTTCGTCCGTCGCGAGGAAGTGAACATCACCGCCAACGACCTCCTCAACACCAACGTCCCCGGCAAGATTACCGAGGACGGCATCCGCAAGAACCTGAACATCGGCCTCAGCTACATGGAAGGCTGGCTCCGCGGCGTCGGCTGCGTGCCCATCAACTTCCTCATGGAAGACGCCGCCACAGCCGAGGTTTCTCGCAGCCAGCTGTGGCAGTGGACCCGACACAACGTCGCCACGGCCGATGGCAAGCGCGTCGATAAGGCCTTTGCACTGCGTCTGTTGCAGGAACAGGCTGATGGTCTGGCGGCTAAGGCGGGCAAGGGAAATAAGTACCAGCTTGCTGCTCGCTACTTCGCTGGCCAGGTTACTGGTGAGGATTACGCTGATTTCTTGACCAGCTTGCTGTACAATGAGATCTCTTCTGCTGGTAGTGCTGCTAAGCTTTGAGTGCGGCGAGGACTTTTATGATGATGAATACCCTTTGTTTCTTTTATCTGGTCTTGACTTCAATATGACCTGATCTACCCATCTGCAGTTAGCATTGTTGTATAAAATTTATTTTTATTTGGTCAATTTTTTACCGGTGTAATATGTAGATGGATTATCTTCCAAGGCGATGGTATTTACATTGCTCCGTTCTCCGTTTGTCCTGCCTTCAAAAGCTCTGGTCCTAGAGCCGGGAAGGTGCCCTTGGATCCCACAGCCAAAGCCCACTGTCCCCGGGTTAGAGCCTACATAGTTATCAAGTTCCTATTTTATCATTGCCAGCTTTGAAAGGCGAGGGTCGGATGAATGGTATAGCCGAGGTGTAATCATCTATTTTACTCACTCGACATCCACACGGCGAAGAGAACCCTTCTATCCATATCCTTTCTCGGCTTAAGTTTATCTTCTGGAAGTCCCATACAACATGGAATTGGGATCTTTTTTTCCTCCTAGTGTTTATATTTGCCTCTCTATTGTATATGATTGAGCATCTAGACACCCTAGCCTAGTCATAGCTCATCATACGGTTCATACAGGTCTAATAACTACTTGTGAGAATGTCCATTTTCTCTCCAGTAGTTGTTGAAGTATGCACTATAAAATGTATGATTAAGAAGGCGTAGGCTTGCTCTGCTCCTCTATCTCAATACCCTTATCATCTTGGTTATAGGATTTATTCCTTTTCACTTGAAAGTTCTCATGTAGATAGTAACAAAGTCATGTAGATATGTAGATATTAATAAAGTAAAATTGACGCTACCATGGGATCTCTCATCAAAAGTCAACCCAGACGGCAACCAACACAGCCATTATACATAAAATTGAGGATAGTGTGATTTGGACGGAATAGCAAAAAGGAATACGATAGAAGTATTCAACCGCATCCTCTATGTCTTTCTCAGGACCACACCTAACAATTATACTGCACAATCCAAATGCCAAGTCACAGGCTCAACCACTTTAGATGTACTCCCAAGCAACAGGGGTGGTAGTGTTAACAGAAACAGCCAGAGCATTGAAACCGAGACAGTCCTCAACCTTGCCAGAAGGAACAGTAGCGTTCTTCAGAGCAGCAAAGACCTGCCACTTAGGGACGGCAGCAGCGGCGCGACGGGTACGGCGGTGGGCAGTGGTACCGTTGGTAGTTGGGCAAGCCATGAAGCCAGCTGCGCCCTGGCCCTTGAAGCTCCAGTGGCCGAAAGAGGTACCGGGGGTGTAGTTGAAGGGGCCATCGGAGGAACCAGCAGGCTCGTAGGCGGAGTGGGGAGAGGTGAAGCGCAGGGCACCCTTGTTATCAACGTAGATGGCCTGGCCACCGGGGACCTCGACGTCCTGGACATAAAGTTAGCGAATTTGAATATTGGAAAGATGCATGGATGCATGGATGGGTATTACTAACCAAGAAGTGACTATTGGCAATCACGGTCTGGTTGGTGTCGGGAACTCCGGGAATGGGTGAATAGGTGTGGGCTTGACCACCGAGCCAGAAGTAGGTACCGTCGGCATTGAGAGGGAGCAGGTGGACGGGAGATGCGGAGCGGGCAGAGATGACGCTGAAGGCAGCATCGGAGCTATTTGCCTGCTTGGAGCCTGGGATGGCAGCCACAAGAGGGGCGAGAGCGAGAAGGGCGGAGAACTTCATTTTGAAGGAGAGAGAATGTGATTGATATTGAGGATGGGGAATTTATCTACAGTAGAACAAGATTTGATGGGATCCATCAGGGTCATATATATAAGATGGACTGAAAAAGGGACCTTCCTAGGCAACTCCATAAGCGGATCCATCTGAGAGATGTTGTGATCGACATTGAAGTACGGATATGGTGGAGCCGGATTCAAGAATCAAGAAAGAGTGTCTTATCTACGGAGTCCGTACACCATGAACCCATTCGGAGTATATGAAGAGGGAAGTATAGGGAGCCATGGGACCCAGAATGGGAAGAAAGCCGAGTTGGGTAGCAGTGAGAATAAACAAGTCACATATACAATATAACGCCATAGAATGCTTTTATCCATTGAGGGATTTGCATTCAGAAACATGACAGGATCGGACTCGGTTGCAGACTTTCCACTGAAGATCGGACTAAATAGATCACTCATCATTGGTCTGTTTCTGTTGTTTACGCCATTGTATTCTTCTTCCAAGGTTCACAGTGTCAATTGACATACGAGCAGATAAAATTAGCAGATGACACCCCAGTTTCTCCAAAACACACACGGCAGGACTCTGAAGATCCCAATAGAAAACCCTGAAGAGGTGTTTCAGAGAAGTTGATGAAAAATTCAGCAGTGATTAAAGATCGACAGGACTTAACGGACGTCCGACAGATTTTATCCGTTAGAAATAAGTAGAAGAAAATGTCCACCTCTTAGCTGCGCCAGATGGGGATCCACGATATCCACATTGTCTCAGGGCACATCATGCTTGACATCATTGTTTTGCCCCGTTGATTCTGGTGGTCTATTGGAGGCACATTGTTAGCTGTTATGTTGCAATTTTGATTTGGAAGGTGTCGAATGTCTTGACTTAATATAGATGATATAAATCATACCCGGAGTTGCTCTATACAACATATGTTGTACAGTCAATTTGACTCCACCAACTTTAATTATTCTTATACATCGATGTACAAAGATGGGATAGTATTATATCACGGATTTCTATGTATAGTTGGATATAATTAGACAGAATATACTTTGTAGCCATCATGCCTCGGAGCTTTGTAGTAGCACTGCCACCATCTTGCCTTATATATGTCTCAACTTTGAGATGTGGAGTCGATGAGGAATAATAATAGAACAGCCCTATCAGGGTAGCCAACCCGTAAAGTGTATAGTGAGTTAGTTAGTTAGTAAGTAAATCACCTAGTTATGTTGTAGGGTGAAGATGCAACTTCCTGACAAAAAGGGGCATTTGATATGATGTCAGTGAGGTCAGGTGACCCACCCTTTTCTCCCTGACGCGTTGAAGATAGAACAAATCGACAAATTTATACTTGATCGTTTTTTTAGAGTGTCTGCGAAATCATGGGCATCGAAGACTGAATGGCTTCCCCACATGCCAAGGCCGGAGCCTCGCGCTCGGTCAAATACTCTAACCCTCCCACGCGTCGCGGCTATACGTCACTTCAGAATCCAACGGTCGAACACTCAACATCAGAGAGCAGTTGGGATAAAAATGATGGATTGGACACTCCTTCGAGTGGAGATGAATCCTCTGAGAAGGCCGATATAAAACTCTTACCTTTGCAACCAAGCAGAGCTCGAGATCCACGACCCTCAAGTTTCAAAGCAAATGACCCGAATTCCACTCCCATCGATGTCCCCAACGACGAGCGCGATGTTTCAAAGCGCATAAAGGATATTCTCGAGGCGGATCGCACTGTGTTGTCGGATTCATTTGCTACAGATCTGGAGGAAGGACACTCAGGCAGAGACTCTCTGGTTCTCAGTGATCGATACAGTGACGACTATGGCATCCCACCTGACAAGGGCTTGCTGTTGAAGAACAAAAAGAGTGAAGATGGGAAAAAAGACTCTAACTGGAGGTCATTGTTCCGTTTGCATTCATGGTGGAACGTTGCCGGCATGTTGACAATCGCCCTACTCGTAGTATGGCTTTCGATCAGGGGACTACCTTGGTCCTCTGTCGGAGCTGCCATTGATGAATTTGTAGGTCTCCCTTCCATTCCAATTAGACATACGCAAATCTAGAAACCAGTCCCTAATAATTACAGCAAGCGGTCCCCTGGTACCCTACTCCCCTTGGTGGAACGAGCGAACAATGGAAGGAAAGCTATGCAAAGGCGCAAGAAATGGTCAAGGAAATGACCCTCGCCGAAAGGGTGAATGTCACAACTGGAACAGGCTGGCAAATGGGACTCTGTGTTGGAAATACCGGTAGGCCCTTGCTATCTTCTCAGTACAACGGCCATGCAAACACTGACACCAACCGTATCATCTAGGACCTGCCGAACTCGTCAAATTCCCTTCCCTTTGCCTACAAGACGGCCCACTTGGACTCAGATTCGCGCAAAACATTACAGCCTTCCCCGCAGGGATCACCACGGGAGCGACATGGAACCGCGAGCTTATGCAAATGCGAGGCTTTGCTCTAGGAAAGGAAGCGCGGCTGAAAGGGGTGAACATCGTACTCGGTCCATCCATGGGGCCGCTTGGTATGATGCCTGCCGGTGGCCGTAATTGGGAGGCATTTGGTTCAGATCCAGTTTTGCAAGGCGTCGCCGCGGCTGAGACAATCCGGGGTATCCAGCGGAACGGGGTCATGGCCACGGCGAAACATTTCATTGGAAATGAACAAGAACACTTCCGTCAGTCATTTGAATGGGGTACTCCAACTGCGCTCTCGTCGAATATAGATGATCGCGCATTGCACGAGGTATTTGCCTGGCCCTTCGCTGAGAGTGTACGTGCCGACGTGGCTAGCGTTATGTGCTCATACCAAATGGTCAACAACAGCTATGCTTGCGAGAATAGTAAACTCATTAATGGTATTTTGAAAGATGAGCTTGGCTTCCAGGGATTCGTTCAGTCAGACTGGCTGGCTCAGCGTTCAGGCGTTCACAGCGCTATTGGAGGCCTGGATATGAGCATGCCCGGCGATGGCCTTCATTGGGCGGATGGTGTTCCGCTCTGGGGAAGTGAACTGACCCGTGCAGCATTGAACACGTCTGTTCCTATGGAGCGCTTGAACGATATGGTCACTCGCATCGTGGCCGCCTGGTACCATTTACGACAGGACTCCTGGGAACTTCCTGCACCCGAGCGTGAAGGCGGGCCGAACTTCTCATCCTGGACGAAAGAGCGGGTCGGACATCTATACGAAGGCTCACCGGATAAGGATGCAACGGGTGTGGTCAACAAATTCGTCAACGCACAGGGAACAGGCGAGCATGCTCATTCTATTGTTGCTCGCCACATCGCTGCAGAAGGCACTGTGCTTCTGAAAAATATCAATACTACCCTTCCGCTCTTGCGCACACAATCCGCACCCGATCGCAAATACCGGGTTGGTGTATATGGCGAAGACGCTGGCCCCGGCCAAGGACCGAACGCTTGTGTTGATCGAGGATGTAATCAAGGAACCTTGGCCTCTGGTTGGGGTAGTGGGGCTGTAGACTTCCCATACTTGGTCAGCCCATGGGAATCACTGCAGCATGCGTGGTCGAAAGACTCTGTCGATGTTAAAGCTTACTTGACGAACAATGTTGCAGTTCAAGACCTCGCAGAGCAGGACCTCTGTTTAGTCTTTGTCAACGCAGATGGGGGCGAAGGATTTATCCGCAGTGACGGCATTGACGCCGACCGGAATGACCTCTTTCTACAAAAGAACGGCACTCAGTTGGTAGAGGGGGCAGCCAAGCACTGCGGCGGTGGCCAAGGTAAAACTGTCGTTGTTGTACACTCCATCGGCCCCGTTGTGATGGAGTCTTGGATTGACCTTCCTGGTGTCCACGCTGTACTGTATGCCAATTTACCCGGGCAAGAAAGCGGGAATGCATTGGTGGACGTTCTATTTGGAGATGTCGATGCAAGTGGACGGCTGCCATACACCATCGGACGAAGTCTAGAAGACTACGGCCCAGGGGCGCAAGTCCTATACGAGCATCCAGACCCCTCCGTTCCACAGGTAGATCTCGACCAGGGCCTGTATATTGATTACCGTTATTTCGATAAGTTCAACATCACCCCCCGGTTCGAGTTCGGCTTCGGCCTATCATATACAACATGCGACTACTCCGCACTGAGCATTGAAAAACTGCAGAAGAAGTCCCAATGGCCATCCAAACGGCCCATAGACGAAGTTGAACCCCCCCGCATACGACAACAAACAGAGCAACCCAACCAGCAGTCTATTCCCCCCCAGGTTTCCGTGCACTCCGCAAATACATCTATCCCTACCTCGCCACCCTGGAGGGAACCGAACCGGGCCCATATCCGTACCCGGAGGGATACAACAAACGCCAGAACCCATCTGCCGCAGGCGGCGGACCGGGCGGGAATCCATCTCTGTATGAGCCCATGCTGGAGCTCACCATCGAAGTGACAAACACCGGTACGCGCACAGGACAAGACGTGATCCAGGTATACGTTTCCTTCCCAGAAGATGTCGCCGAGCATCGTGGAATGGGCTGGATCCGTGAGTCCATTGAGTTCCCTGAACGTGTCCTGCGGAATTTTTCAAAGGTTCTCCTGCAACCGGGTGAGACGAAAAATGTCAAGATGATGTTGACTCGGAAGGATCTCAGCTATTGGAGTGTTCGTGCGCAGAACTGGGTGTTGCCTATCGAAGGTAAATTCCGTATCTGGGCTGGACGTAGTTCTAGGGATTTGCCGCTCGTGGTCGAATTTTGATCCTTTACTCCGTACAGGACTTAGAATACTGTTGCTGCTATGACATTGGAGGTCTATAGCTACCGTCAGTCATTAATTCAGGATCCATGATTTCCCAAATGTGTATAGGTAACTACAGTAAGCCATAAGTTGCTGAGACCAATGGACATGATGATGTATATTTATCCTATTGAGTAGGGCCATGTAGGGCCATGTAGGGCCATGTAGGGCTTGTAAAGTAAACCAAAATCAAATAACGTAAACTTTTTGTTTTGACATGGTAGATGATGCACTAAGGTATCTGTCGGAAACATGTACAGTACTGGCGAAAACGGCACTTAAAACGAAATCTATGCCGGAAAAATGAGAACAGAACGCCGAAACACCGTCTATCAGATCCAATGCAGACCGAAACATTAACATGGTGCTCATGATGCGAGGATATAATCGGAATTATTCTCTCAGCGATTACGAATCATAATGTTGAAGCACGCGGAAGCACGTCTATTCGTCGTCGGAGTCCGCGGGCTTGGGGGTACCCTTGGGGGAGTTCAACTAGAAAAAAAGGGTTAGCATACTGTGGAAAGTAGAGATATATTAACATGAGCAACTCACCCATTCGATATAGCGCAGACGACGGCGGGTCTCACGCTCCTTCTGTTGAGCACGGGTCATCTTCTTCTTCTTCTTAGCGCGGAACTTGAGGTCGCCTTCATCGCCAGAGTTGACGGCAGATGGGGCGGCACTGGTAACGGCCGAGCCAGTGGCGGGGGTACCAGGACCAGAAGGCGAGTTGGCAGCGCTGTCCTCGAAGCGGTCGAGGCTGACGGCATTGTTGGTACGGCTGACAACACGGCCATCGGCAATGTGCATCTGCTCGGGGCAGAGGGCGCCCACGAACTCCTCGTTGTGAGAAATCATAACAACACCACCCTTGAAGTCACGGATGGCAACGGCCAAACCACCGAGCGAGTCACGATCCAAGAAGTTAGTCGGCTCGTCCAGGACCAGCAGGTGGGGGTTGTTCCACATGGCACCAGCAAGCACGACCTTGACCTTCTGACCACCAGAAAGACCGGAGATCTCGTTGTGGTTGGCGATCTCGGGGTCCATACCAATGTCCTCGAAGTGCTTGGTGATGGTCTTGGGGTCAAGAACACGGAAGCCCAGACCTTCACGGGAAGCCTCGTGATCGTCGAACTCCTGAACCAGCTTGAAGAAACCGAGCTCGAGCAGGGTCTCACGCGAGATCATGGTGTTGTACTTGGGGAGAAGGCCAACCCACTTGACCTCATACTGGAAGGACTTCTTCCACTTCTGACGACCAATCAAGGTCTCGATGCGACGGCCACCGCGGCCATCACCCAGGTCAACTGGCTTCTCCAGCTGTGCCTTGTCCTCTTCAGTGAGGATACGGGTCTGCTTCATGAACACTTCACGATCGTCACCGTTGGCGTAACGCCACTGGAGGTACTGGCTGGGAGTCTTCTCCAAGTGCATCTCCACGTGCTCCAGAGCGTGCTGCTTGATGTAACCGATACGCAAGTTGGGGTGCTTCTCCACCTTTCCGCCCTGAGGAATGGTCTCACCAGTCAGGATCTTGATGAAAGTAGATTTGCCGGCACCGTTTCCACCAATGATAGCGACACGGGAGGAAAGCGTAAGCGACAGCGAGGCATCGTGCAGCGAGGGGCGGGGGGCACCCGGGTAGGTGTATGAGACGTTGGTCAAGCGCATAATGGCGCGAGTCATGGACTTGATACCAGACAAGATACCGGGGGGAGGGAACTTGAACTGCACATTGGATGCGGACAGAGTGTAGTAACTCTTGCCCTCGGGCTTCTGCCTGACGAATTCGGCAAGGTTACCCTTGTAGCAGACAAGCTTCTTGCCCTCGTAGTGGTAGATATCCGTGCAGACTTCATCGAGGAAACCGGAGTCGTGACTGACGATCAGACTGGTGATCTCAGTGTGCGACCTAAGGTACTCCTGCAGCCACTTGACGTTTGCCACATCCAAGTGGTTAGTAGGTTCGTCCAGCAGGAGAACATCAGCCTTCTGGAGCATAGCACGGGCCAAAGCCAGCTTCATCTTCCAACCACCGGATAGCGAGCCCACGGGCTGGGACTGGCGGCCCTCGGGGCCATCGGTGAAGCCGAACTCGAGGAGAACCTCACAAATGTGATCCATGCCCTGAGAAACAATCTTGGGGTCCTTGGCAACATACTCAAGGATGGTCAGGTTGGCGTCTTCACCCTGGTTGTGCTCCACGAAGCAAGTGCGGACCTCATCCTGGGGCGGGAAGCCTTCCAGCTTCTCGTTGGCGATACTGCGCATGAGGGTAGACTTGCCGGCACCGTTGCGACCACAGAGACCGTATCGGTGACCCTTGAGGAGACGCAGGTTGGTGTGGGACAGAAGGAGCATACCTCCGTAAGCAAGAGAGAAATCGGCGTTGACGATCTCAACATCATTGGGGTCTTCGGGGGCGGGCTTGCCGAACTTGATCTCATCCTCTGCAATGTAGTGGGACTGGACAGCAGTGGCAACGGCCTCTCTATTGCCATCCGCAAGCAGGCCGCGGAGGTATGGGTCAATGCGGTCGGGGACACGGTCGTGCATGCGGGAGTTGATGTCCTCGCGGACCATACTGGCAATGTAGTTCTTGGCCAGATCCTGCAGCTTGGAGTCACCAGAGCCACCCAGCCCACCGTGCTCCTGAATCTTTGCATTCAGCACATCCAGGACCTCCTCAGGGGTGGTCTTAGAGACGGAACCTGAGGCAAGATGACTGTCCCCCATGGCAGTCTCGATAACGTCGAGAGCACGTGCGGCGAGCTCACGAACCTCGGGCAGGGAGGCGGTCTCCTTGACCGACTTCACACCAGGCTGGAGCTTGGGGAGGAAAGTACGAGCTTCGGTGGGATCGTGGACCAGCTTGGTCAAGTTCTCCACAACGACAACGGTTTGGCGAAGAGTTTCTTGGGGAGTAGCCGGGGTATTGAGGGATCGGGCGAGCAGAGGAGTGAGCATGGCCAACACGGGGGATGTGACGATGGCGACGAAGGTGGTCTGGGATAGAGCGTGAATCGCCTTCTGGAGAATCTGAGCGGAGGGGTTCTCCATAGTCTTGATCAAAAGAGGAATGCGGGGGGGCAACATCGTCGTTGGACAGAAGGGTGGTGAGGGCAGTCATGGTCTTGCAAGACTGCTTGGTCACTTCGCCCTTGAGGTCGTGCATGCCGGACTCAACAATGGGAATGAGCTCCTTCAGGGTCTTGCCCATAGATTCGCGCAGCAAGTCCTTCTGGCGCTCCTCGTCCTTGGTACCCTTGCCCAACTGCGCCTTGACCGCCATCTTTTCGATAAGCGAGTAGGCACCGACAAAGCCTTGCCACTTGCCAGATCCCTTGGACAGGTAGCGCTCGAGGGCGGGAATCAGACTGTTGACCATGGCCTCGGGGCTGAGACATCCGAAAAGCGCATCGATGGCGTATTGGGCAGCATCGCGCACAACGGCACCTTTGTCAGACAGGGCATCCAGGGCAATGTCAAAGATGCCTCCGTCGTGCAGGAGGAAAACGGCTTCACTCAGAGGGAACTCTCGGGGGAAGCGCTCGAACAAAGCACCAATAATGAGCATGGCACTTTCGCGCTTGGCACCATTCTTCTTATCGGAGGCAGCCTTGCGGACAGTGGCGAGAACATCGTAGTTCAGCAGGCCTGCACAGCCGGCACCCTGTATGAGCAGGTTGGTCAAGGCATATGAACCATCAAGGGACTTCTGGGAGGAGTCGGATGTGAAGATAGTGTCGAGGGAGGAAGAAATCTCCTCGGAGGTGGGGGGCACGCCGGAGGGGCCCTTTGCGACGACGGTCGGCATAGCGGGAGTCTCAGAGGAGGAGACAATGTGTGGCATTTTCCAGAGAATCAGAGAGTCGATGATCGAGTGTCGATATCAAAGAGAGATATCGGAGAAAAACGATAGGGAAATGAAGCCCTTGGGAAGAGAGGGGCAATTCGACCTAACGGAAGATAAAGAAACTGTTCACAGCGCAAGTCGCGCACACAAACAGAATGAGTAAAATCAGGTTGAATCGTAGAGTATATACAAGACGATTCTCAGAAAACCCAGAAGACCCGAAACACAACGAAAAAAAAGAAACACAAAGAGGGGAGAGTGATCTAAAAAGAAGTAAAAACAATCTTTGCCATCCTCGATTGCTGACCCACCGACGACCGAATTTTTTTTTTTGTTGCTTACTCATCCAATCAGCGGGCCAGGCGGCGCCATGGGACAAAAAGGCGTCTAACCCGATTTGTCTGATTGGATCAGTGACTTCGCCGCCTTGATGCCTTGATGCCTAAAGAGAACTGAGTGCCTTATGCCTGAGGCATTAACTGACATTTGTACGTTCCGCCTGAAGCGTTTACCTTCTACGTCACAAACAAGTTACAGGTACATAGTCAACGCTTCTGACGGGTGAATGGATGTTCTTTTTTATTATTTTTTAGCCTGGCAATTCACCGAGCCCAATTCGACAAGGAAAAAGTTCCCTTTAGTCTTATCTCCGTCAATCCGAAATAAGGTCAGCCTTCACCAAGTATGTAGATATTATATAACACAAATGGAAATAAAAAGATATAATACCACTGCTCCGTAGACTATAGTGAATTATCAAGAAAATAACCCATATGGTCATTGATATTCGTCTTGTCGGTACATTTCATTCGTTGTCCAACGGAGCATATCACAGCCGACATGGCCGCATGGCCCCGGGCCTCGGTAGACACAAACCCCTGTGCCCCGCGTCCAACCGACCTGCATTCGGTCCAAGTCGATCATCAAGTCTGACTCTTTCCTGCTCTTCTTTCTGTGTATTCACCATCTTCAGTTCCAACAACATTCATTCAATTGCTGTTCGTTCAGCTTGATCCTCTCTCATAACCTCTTTCATCCCCGCAATTCAACTCCACCCCCGCAAATCCACCCCCGGACTCCATCAGCACAACAACACAAAATGGCCCTTAGCTGGAGATCAACCCGTCATGTCTCTAAGCTTGCCCAGGTGAGTTTGAATGAGGATTTCATATATTATTTGATTTTCCAAGTTCTCTGACTCTTTCTAGGCAGCACGACCTGTCCTCTCGGCACGTCACTATGCGACCGCCGAGCCCGACCTGAAGACCACCTTAAAGGAGGTTATCCCAGCCAAGCGGGAGCTCCTTAAGAAGGTCAAGGCTCAGGGTGATGATGTGATTGGTGACGTGAAGGTCGGAAATGTCATTGGTGGTATGCGTGGCCTCAAGGCCATGCTCTGGGAGGGCTCCGTCCTCGACGCGGATGAGGGAATCCGCTTCCACGGCAAGACAATCAAGGACTGCCAGAAGGAACTTCCCAAGGGCACCACTGGCACAGAAATGCTACCTGAGGCCATGTTCTGGCTGTTGCTGACTGGCCAGGTGCCCTCCACGGGCCAGGTTCGTGCCTTTTCGCGCGAGTTAGCCGAGAAGTCCGAACTTCCCTCCTACATTCTGGACCTGATCAAGTCTTTCCCAGCCTCAATGCACCCCATGACTCAGTTGTCAATTGCTGTGGCAGCTCTCAACACCGAATCCAAGTTCGCCAAGGCCTACGAGAATGGTATCAACAAGGCCGACTACTGGGAACCCACCTTTGACGACTGCATCTCCCTCCTTGCCAAGATTCCCCGTGTGGCGGCACTTGTCTTCCGTCCCAATGAAATTGATGCCGTTGGTACCCAGAAACTCGACGCCGCTCAGGATTGGTCGCACAATTTCGCAGAGCTGCTGGGCAAGGGTGGCTCAGAGTATGCTGACTTCCACGACCTACTCCGTCTTTACCTCGCTCTGCACGGTGATCACGAAGGTGGTAACGTGTCAGCCCATGCGACCCACCTCGTTGGAAGCGCCCTGAGCGATCCCTTCCTGAGCTACAGCGCTGGTCTCCTCGGCCTAGCGGGCCCACTCCACGGCCTGGCAGCCCAGGAGGTTCTCCGCTGGGTGAATTCCATGCAGGAAAAGATTGGAACCAAGTTCACCGATGAGGATGTTCGCACATATCTCTGGGATACTCTCAAGTCAGGTCGTGTGGTCCCTGGATATGGTCACGGCGTTCTGCGCAAACCTGACCCTCGTTTCGAGGCTCTGATGGACTTTGCAGCCACCCGCCCTGACGTTCTTGCCAACCCGGTATTCCAGTTGGTAAAGAAGAACTCGGAGATTGCTCCTGGTGTTCTTACTGAGCACGGAAAGGTATGTCCAATGGCAATCTAACATCCTGTATTCCTTTCTCAGCTAATGCTTTGTTACTTTTCTACAGACCAAGAACCCATACCCCAACGTCGATGCCGCTAGCGGTGTCCTCTTCCATCACTTTGGCTTCCAACAGCCCCTTTACTACACTGTTGCTTTTGGTGTCAGCCGTGCTCTTGGTCCCCTGACTCAGCTGATCTGGGATCGGGTTCTTGGCATGCCCATTGAGCGTCCCAAGAGCATCAACCTTTTGGGCCTGCTCAAGAAATAAACGTTGGCATAGTTGCCTGGTGCGACCCAAAACTCGTTGGCCTCGATGGTTCAAAACGATGAATTTGATATGAAGCGAGCTTTCCTACTTTTTGATTTTGTTCTCTTTTTGCTTGAAGGAGCTGCTCTTACTTTTGCTCTCCCGTTTATGTCCTTAGACAGAAATACGTCCATAGACTACTTGCTTTCGCAAACGTCTGCTCAATTAGACTTCGACTCTGAGCCGGTCGTCTTTATGTGACTTTCTGCATAGATAACAACGCTTTCAGACCACCTTCAGATCAGACCACCTTTAGATTTGAAATTTACCAAGTGATATATCTAAAAGTTCAGTCCCTTGTAACATGACATCCCCCACTTAATCATGACAGCTTCCGCTGAAGGGGCCGTTATGAAATCTCTTGTGGCATGAACAGGAAAAACGAAGTGTCACATGCAGTAGAAGGCAGTGTTCATTGACATGCCCAGCAAGAAGCAGATGTGGTACAGATATATCAGGCCTGTGTGAATATGCACGTAGGATTGACATAGGCAACGAACCCAGACGAGGAAGGGGTTATCCGACCCTTGAACATGGTTACGATTCACTCACATTTTCCCATTGCTGGTGTAGACACACCGTAGTCTTACAGAAAAAGCGTATTACAACATGTGCGTTGGCAGACAGCATGGGGAATATGATAGTTGTGTTTATATGGCATTCCCAACACTCCATCGGATGAGTCTACCAGGTATAAATAAAGTGTGGGGATCAAAGAGGTCCAGACCATTGGAAGTTCCATGGTTCTACCTCAATCATACCCATGGATGTAGGTCCCAGTCATGCACATCACATTTTAGCATCATCGTCGATATCAAGTGATACTCGGATGGTAAGGGCATTGGTTGTTGCAGCATGGATTGAGCCGTTGAAGAGTTCAATCAAGTTATAGAGTTGATAATTGATTGATTAACCCCAATATGAATATGAACCAGAAGGAACATGATGAATAGCATGCTAATATGTTCGAGAAATAGAATTGGGGGTCATAATAACGGATAGCGAAGAAGGAATCTAATCATCACCTCACAACCGAGCACTCCCAGTCGACAATTGCTCCCACTCTTTCTGTCCATACGGTGAATAGCTCTCGTCACCAGGCGCAATCCACAAGAAGTGGTCATCTTTACCCTCAGGGGCTTTAGTTCCAATTAAGGTAGTATCAACCCCCTCATCCCGAAGCGGCACTTTGTTTTGCTTATGGTTGTGAATATGAGTGGGATTCTCCACGATGCGAAGGAACAGGGGCACAGCATATTTCGGCAGCTTGGAGCGTACGAATCTCGCCAGTTCTGTGTAATCAAATGCCTGACGAGCATCTGGGCTAATTTGAATTGCTGCACACCCGGCTCGTCCCTCGTGATTGGGAAGACGGACGCCGTAGACGTTGGCTTCGGTGATGCCAGGGAATTGGCCTAGAACCTCTGAAACCTCGGCAGTTGCTCTGTTACATTAACACTATAGTTAGCCTTTGCGTCCAAATTCACACCCACATCTTAGGTTGTGTTGCAACTTACACGTTCTCGCTCTTCCAGCGGAAAGTATCTCCAAGTCGATCGAGGAAGTACCAACGGCCATCGCTCTGCCGACGCAGAGCATCGCCAGATCGATAATAGAGGTCCCCCTTCTTGAACACATCCCGTAAGAATTTCTTATTGGTCGCCTCATCATTGTGCCAATACCCCTGGAAAGCTTCTTCACCGGGAACTTTAACGATAATTTCCCCTCCTTGTTCATACGGAGCGCGAACCGCAAAGCCGGTCTCAGAATCCCGCAGAATGTCTCCAGTCTCAGGGTCAATGGCAACAGGAATAAAGACATTATGCAATATACCACGCATGATCAAACCATGGTGACCGACACTGCCAGACGTGAAAGGACCGCGATTGTAGTTGAAGAGACCAAAGACACCTTCTGTGCTATTAAAGAACTCCCCAACTTCAGCGACTCCAAACCGCTCACGGAACCGCTCCCAAATATCCGGCCGGAGACCGTTACCGTACATACAGCGGACCTTGTGATTCCGGTCTTGAGGCGATGGAGGCGGCGCGAGCAAATAACGAGCAGTCTCGCCAACATACACGAACGTAGTCGACTCTGAGTCGCGAACATCTTTCCAGAATCTACTGACGCTAAACTTGGGCGCGATCGCGATGCTCAGTCCCATTACCAGACATGAGATCATGGAAATAGCTGCCGTGCCATGGTACAAGGGCATACAGCTGTACCAGCGATCGCCGGCTGGGCCGGGCGTGTCTCGCACCAGGGCACGGCGGACGAAGAGAGTGGTATAGAGTCTGGACATTGTAAACGCACAGCCCTTGGGCATACCCGTGGTGCCAGAGGTATATAGGAGAATTGCCGGGAAGTCACCGGCTACATGCTTGCTCAGCTCCTTGGGCGGGAGCGTTGTTGGGAAAGTACTGACATGCGCCTTCAAGGAGCTATCCAGGGTCATCGGCTTCATTCCCAAATTGCCTGTAATCGCGTCGAGGCTTTCTTCGACGCGGGCGGCACAGTCGGCATCTTCGTCGACAAGCAGAATGGTCGCATCGCTGATCTTTAGACAGTGTAGTAGTGCGGCGCCGGTGAGGTTGTAATTTATGGCGGCGGGGGCGCAGCCAATACTCCAAAGGGCCACCCATGCGACGATGTACTCGTTACTGTTCTGGAGGTAAAGGGCCACGAGGTCGCCTTTCTTCACGCCCTGTGATAAGTAGAAATGGGCATATTGGCAGGCTTGGTCTTGGAGTTCTCGGTAGGTGTATGATCTCTCTCGAGTCCAGAGACAGATCATGTCGGGATATTTCTTGACGGTCTGCAGTAGGACGAACCACGGATTCCCTTGGTTTTGACTAACTAAAAAATTGGTCAGTATGTGGGTTGCAATCGCCGGAATATTGTTATAATCATACTGGCATTGGCATATTGTCGTTCTGCATGCTTCACCGTGACCAAACTTGATATATCCTTCTGGATATGAAACTTGGCATTCAAATATCCTGCGACTGTAGCTCCTCCGACGAGAGCAGCGGCAGCGGTTCCTATCATTTGTCAATAAGATCAATTGTGATCATCGTTTCATCACGCACCTATATCCATCTTCCCAATTTGACCTTGGTTTTGTATACAAGTAGCTAAGGGAGTTATCAGTTTAACAATATAAGTATACAAATGAGGGGATCTCAGTGCTTAACCGTTGACCTCGGCATAAATTAGTCTCCGCACTTTTGGCCTCTGGCCAGTCAGGGGACGATTAGATATTTTAGCCAATATTAATCTCAATTTGATTGGTCAATTTGGCTGGGATTCCCCATAAATGAAATGCGGGGGAGGTTAATTATAATCCTGGCCTCGGTCGTATACTAGTAGATCCATAATAATATTAATTTCACGCTGGAGGAACTTTGCAGCTAAATGACACTAGCCAAAAAGGTCAAATATAGAGAGGTGGCGATGATTACGGTCCCCTAAGTGTTGATATATATCAAGCCATTTCTCCACCGTCAAGCATGAGTAGATGTTACACCGTCGGTATATATTCCAGGGTTAGGGATCGTTTATTACTTGCTTTTTTTTTCTTTCTTTTCAATGCACCATATTTTCAAGAAGTCAGGAGAAGAGAGGGACCAATGCAACCGTATCGGATCTTGAAGAAGGGAAAAGAAGAAGAGGGAGAGGGGACTATGTAGCTGGCAGTCCTGCCACAGGGTCAGATGACACCGATATCAACACATGTTCCTTTGATTCCGTGGACTTTGTTTTGTATAACTGGGCATATCGCAAAATAACACCAAGATATATTTAAATCTGATATAGCCTTGGGGGAATCGCCGGTTCAGCCACCCGCAGCAAAGAAGACCGTAAGAGTTACTATAAATGTACGGATATATATAGTTGTTGTAGTCTGTATATTTGCGAGACGTCGGGGTAGTGAATACTACTACTACTGTACGGTATACGGTAGATTAGATTGGGCCACACGAGAGACTTTCTATCTGAACATCCGTATACACCACACACCTCGTCACGAACATGTCGCGACTCCATGTCTTACAATAAATAAACCATCGTGGAAGCCAAATAGACAATCCCACCTTTATCAACTATGCTATACCCCCGTCTCTCGCAATTAAAACTACGATCTCTACACTGCTTCAAGAAAGGTGATGAACAGTAACTTTTTACCACCCCAGCTCCCAGCGTCCCCCCCCGGTTTTACCAGTTGCCTTCAATCAATAATGAATGACTTATTTGGTTGGCTGTGTGTAAATCAGAATTTAGTGCCGACGTGATATGCAAGGATGAATCAGTAGAATCCTAACTCATAATTATCTTTTTTAGTATTAAACTTAAGGAACTAGTCTATATCCTGCGGCTTAAGCTTGATTAATAGTTCGGTGAGAGGGTGACGCCGCTTTTGATTGGTGTTACCCTGCACACATAAAGCGGCCTTGGCAGAATGCATGGATTAGTCAAAATATCAGTTGGAATAGTTTGCATAGTTTGTATAGTCATCCCTTCAATATATTAGCACACCAAAGGCTCCTTCACATCTCCTCTTCGTGCCACCTATCTTGCGAATTCTTTCTTCCCACACTCTTCATCTGTTCCAAGCAATGTGGTATCCCTTAGATATCGTGTTTGGTTCAGTCTTCAAGGCCTTGCGAGGTCGGACACAGCATGCTAGTGACTGAAGCGTGTGATACGTCTTGTCCACAAATCTCAGCAATTGTAAGCCATAAGGGGCGTTTGTTGACTCCTTTGATTACTAATTGTTGTAGGATGCCCGTGGCTGTAATGAAGATACAGATACTATGTCCCATGTTGAAATCATCGAAGTGTCCCGATATTACCCCCCAGGGGTTTCAGAGATTATCGGTCGCGGTGGCGAGTGTTTCGTCGGAGCTATTGATGAATTTACGGTCTTGAAATATCCATGTATTCCTGGCGATTGCGAGAGCATTCAGATAGAGGCCCAGCTTCTCGAGGTCATCGGAAGCCATCCCCGTATTATCGCCTTAAAAGGCGTGAGAGAAGATGGTCTCGTGCTGCAACGCGCATCAAATGGTTCTTTGAATGACTATCTTAAATCACAGTCGGTTATAGCTCTCGATAGGAGGCTACTCTGGTGCAAACAAGCTGCCGAAGCAATCAGTTATATTCATGGAAAAAGGGTCATCCACTGTGATATAAACCTTCGGAATCTTCTACTGGATCAGAATCTCGATATATTACTTGCAGACTTTCAGGGGATGTCGAAGTCCGCTGATGGGACCACTTTATTAGATGGACTCTCTCGGGAGTGCTCAAAGTCATACCAGCCTCGAGTCCATGGAGATTATGCATGTGTGGCGACCGATCTTTTTGCGCTTGGTTCCGCTATCTACTTTATTATGACCGGACACGAGGTCTTTCCTGAACTTGATAGCTTGGAGGATGATGAAGAGATCCTATCACGCTTCCAATATGGGCTCTTCCCGAATGACAATCATCCTTGCTCTCAAATTACAGAAAAATGTTGGAAGCAGCAGTATCGGCAGGCTGCTGAGGTTGTTTCTGATCTAACTAACCTTGGTATTTTGAATTGAATGTACTATTGGTGAAGCTACTAGGGACCAGAGAGAGAGAGAAGAAAAGGTTAATTCCTACAAACATGCAGAGAGCTACTTATGTAGGTAGCCAGCCTGACAAACAAGGCCTAATCGATCAGGTGTCCATCTCCATCTCAACAACTATCTTGCTTGAAGACCTGGAAGGTAATACCCTATCTCTCTCACTAACTGGAGAAGACCTTTCAATTCATCAAATCTGTTGGGTAGTGCGCTGTCCTGTTGGCCTCAACACAACCGTATATAGCTGGCCCAGTAACAGCTAGATATATCTATGGACGATAGCTACTCCGATAAAGCGGAAACCTCCTCGGTTCTCGGGCTGAGCTTGTTGAACCGAATTTCTATCCATTTCACCCGTTCAAAAGAAAGAATGCCGACACGTAGAGGAAATAGCCTCGGCACTGGCATTTCCTCGGATACCCATGCGATTTTCTTTCCCACTTGTTTTAACGAGACACACCGATTGCGCCTTGACTGATCTATGCGGTACTGTACTGCCGCGGGAGGGGTTGGAATGTAGCCAAAACACCATGGATCCGATGGACCCACTAATCGGCAAACCTGGCATTGCTAGTTTAGTGAGGGGAACCGTCCACGAGTCTCTAAACAAATTGTGAGTTTCGAAAGATCATTGACTTTAGTATGCTCTATGATAGGCCTAACCAACTAGTCATCCAGTTTCATTTATCGAATGCCTAATTCTGAGATACACGTTCAATCTTTAAACCCAGGACTCCACACTATATCCATCTCTGAAAGCGAGAGCATTCTGGGGTCCTTCGGCATCGATCTCATAGCCATAGACGCAGCGGTCAAAGGAGACTTTTGGCTGGGACTCATAGAAGTCATCATACTTATTATCCAATGCATCTCGGAGGTTCGTCACTAAGCCGTCCGGGTGTAGAGTATCCCAGGGCTTGATACATTCGGAGCCAATGCATGACTTGAGTACCATGAGGAGGGCATCCAATCTTGGAATTACTTTCGACATTGGGTGTCCGAGAATCTTCACCCTTTTAGCACCTCTCTTCCAGAGATTCTTCACCTGGTAAGGGTCCGTCTTTCGAAATGTGGTCAGTTGAGTCAATTTAGCGGTTTGGTTATGATTAAGACTTACACTCATGTCATAGAGCTCATGCTCGTTATTACACCACACGGAGTAGAACAAGTTATAGTCAGGGGCAAGCACGCGAACGGCCTTGAAGGTGTTGTTCGGCACAAATTGGGCCCCTACAAGCATTAGTGTATAACAGATTGAGAAGTAATATGTAGACGAACCGGGCTTTGAGAAGGCACCTTCGAGTATCCCCCGTCCCCAAAATTCAACCGCAATATGTTCATGGAGATCTCCACTAGTTTTAGAAGTTGGCATTGGTGTTCCATCAAAGTCAGATCTCGGATTAAGCCCAGCTAGCTGGAATACTGTGGGAGCAATGTCAATGTGTGTGGTAACCCTATTATCCGTATGGCTCTCTGCGACACCAGGCCCGCGCAATATGAAAGGAACTCGGATATCTTCCTCGAAGCCACAGGTTTTCCCAGGAGGAAGTCGGTGCTGAGAGATATGGAAACCATTATCCGAGGTGTAGATAATGAAGGTATTATTGATCTTTCCGGATCTTTCAAGACGTATAATTAGTTGGTCAACTAGCTCGTCGACACCCTGAAGGGAACGAAGGCGCTGGCGATAATAATGGTCATTGTAATCTATGACGGTCTGATTCTGGTATGGAAGATCATGAATCCAACTCACGCCACTCGGCTATAAAGACAACTCTGTTAGAAGGCGACAATTTTATATATCACTAATAATAGGCACTTACGTGTTTGGGGTTGAAGTTGGCTGTTCGAGGTACCCTCGCATCTGGGAAGAGATGCTTATGGTGTTCTTCAGGGATGGGATCGTCCATTCCGCCACCATGTGTTCCATTCATGTTCGAATGCGGTGCAATAGGTGTTACAGCCATAAAGAAAGGTCGTTCGCCAACTAGGGCGTCGTCTAGGAATCCCATCGCCTTCTCGCGTATAACCTCGGTCGTGTGACGGCCTAGGTAATTGGTAGGCTTTTCGTGATTTCTCTGGTACGTGGTATTCAAAAAGTCATATGTATAAGGGTCTAGGAGAAAGTCTGATCCGTTGAAGCCTGCAGCATGTGGACTGGCATAGTTCTCAAGAGATTGACCGTTCATCAGCTTTCCAGTATAGTAGGTGTCATAGCCCGCCTGTTGCATCCAGACAGGAAGGTAGTTCTCGTTGAATCCGCGTTCAACAAACTTAGGGTATCCCCCTAGAAAGATCCATCAAATCTAAATCGAATGGGAGGATTGGAAAGGATATGGCTTACCCCAGGGTGGATTAACATCGGTTACGTTGGTGTTATGTGCGTGGCGCCCAGTGAGCAAACTGACACGAGATGGACAGCACAAAGCGGTAGTGACGAAGTGGTTGGCAAATGTTGTGCCTTTCTTTGCCATATGCTTGATAGTCAATGGCATATAGGACATCGAATTCAACTTCAGATCCTGGTCATCTGTCATTATGAAGAGAAAGTTGGGCTTTGAGGCAGCGGGAAGCTGGTCCGACAGTTGGGAATCCTCATAAGAGTCATCTGTAGCCACACTGGCTACCAAGAAGCCTAAGCTAAGGAGTATTTTCAGCTTCATTATGGTTAAAACTGTAAAGGTAGAAGGAAAAAGTCCGTCTCGGCTGATGTGATTGTTAGGGTGTATTGTGGTGATACTCGAGACTTTTATACTCGAAGCCTTTACCCATACACCTTTCAATTAACTTCACCATTCTCCTCCTGTGCGGAATAAGATACGTGGAGTCATTTCCGCATTAAACTCTGGACAAAGATGTAACTTTCTGCTAAACCCCACAGATTCCGCGACTTCACGATGACCCCACAACCGGTAGGACGAGCGATCTCAACAACAAAGTTTCTCGAAAACCCGGGGAGTCAGTGCCCTGTCAAATTCATTCCCTGGAAGACGCATTCGATTTTGCGACTATGGGATATTCAGGAGACTTATCATGTTTCATGACAGCTAGCTGTCTTACTTGTAAATTAGCTGGCTATTAGGGTACGATATACAAAACACAACTAGCAAGGGCTACCCCTTTAGGACGGCCTCCCACTACTGACAGCTACGCACCCATAAGGAGCACCTGTATAGAAGGCTAAATCAAATAAAACATGATACATACACCAAATCATCTTGTATGCCAAGAAGAAGAACCGTGCTATCGCTAGTGGACAGACCATACGATCTAACGTAGAGACATTCCTAATATAACCTCGGGTGTCGTATTGTATAGCCCACTCACTCCGTGGACGGGGTGGTAGGGGCGATATAACCGGTGTAGAAATCCTTACTATGTAGACTAAAATACTATAGTCCTGGTACTATTTCCACATTAACTAGGTCGGGTCAGTGATCACTAAAACCACTAATGTCGATCATATAGGTGAAATGCGGGGTTACCAATTCATCTACCCCGCATCCTATACGCACCCGTGCAGTGCGGCACTTGCCGGGAGTTAGATGGTTTATCCATTACTATAATGGATATAGATTCTTCCAACTAGAATACAAGTATAAGCCGACAGTAGTGGGCCGGCTGATGTACACTGCCGACCCATAACGGGCTCGGTAGTTGTCTTGTTAGCACCAGTAGGTTGATTTCCCTATAGTCCAGAATCCCCTAGGATCCCTCTTAATTCTAATCAAACTTAGTGTTAGTGTGACGATGCATAATATCAAGGGTTCTGCCTAGAGCAACGAGGACGGACACTGTCAAAGTCCAATGTTGAATATATGGATTTACATGACATCCTTACCATGTAGATCATGTGACTTCGAGTACCAGGCATGCTGTTTAGTTATCATAACCGCACAGAATTGTAAAACAAAAGGGTTTGTTATTTTAGTTAGAGTTATCAGCATCTGCTAGTTGTACCATACATTTGCAATCCAGACAGATTTCTACCAGTTATCGCATACATCAGTGAATGTATGACCTCTCAGGTCCACAATTGCTAGACGAAACAAGGGTGAGGATATAATAATGTATATAATAATGTATGTTATTGATCTTGAAAATAAAAGGGTTTTAAGACACAATCTAACAAGTGGGTCCTATATATACAGAAAGGAGCCAATGAAATGATGGTATCCGGCTGACAGAACACAAAAAGATCTCCTTTCTTGGTGATAGGGGTCCAGCTCCTCCTCACCTAACCTCCCACATCATGGTGAGAACATCGCAGATTGCGCGGGATTCAACCGAAGAACCCATCCGATGGATCCAACGAGACTATGTCGACCATCAAGGCAACCCGGTCATTTTGGGGAAGGTGGCTAGCCACGGAAGGCAGTTTTATCAACCAGAGCCAAACGAACTCGAGGCGTACCGACTTCAAGTATACAGCACGACTCCCATCCAGCCGGAAGAGTTCAACAATCTGTACGAATATTTTTACTCGGAATTCGACCAGTTTCCCTTTCTAGAAATTTACTCATACAACCCACCGGATGGTCTGGCTTGCGTGGAACATCAGCGTCACGAAATTGCTTATCGAAAGCGTCTTCAGGCTGGACAGCGGGGAGGCCTTCCGCCTTTGATCCCCACGATGAAAATTGGATTTAAGGGCGAGTTCATGTCAGGATTCTGTTTCCTTCTCACGTCTAAAAGCTATCTCCAAGGTGCATACCGTGATAATGACCACGGTACCGGCCCCTACTGGATTACCTTCGATCGGAGTCTTCCAGCTGTTACGAAGGAGCTCCCTATGATAAAACGTCTTGGTAGCCCCGCGACTAAGCTTCAAACTTTTGCGGAGGGGGGTATCTCAGTTGATCCAGAAATTCGCGATATCAATGTGGATATTACGACAAATCAGAACGGATTCGGCTTTGATATAAAAGATCTTATGATAGGACGCTATTCGACATATGTTTATGGGCAATTTGATTATGGGCTATATGAACCGTCCCCGCCCGCATTGTCCGAGACTCTCACTATACAACATATCCAAGAGGCTTTAGAGCAGCAACAAACGGCGGAAATCCAATCCCTTAATTTGAATGTATTTCGAATTATATGGGGATCTGAGAGGAGTACTATCACTATCACGAACAAGTCTTTGGATAGTCAATGTGACCTTCAGTACGTGATCTATGTCCAGTTCCTCGCGGATATCGAGATCAAGCAGGAAAGGTCCAATCTCCTAGAGACAACCGCACGCACATTCACTGCAGCCATCATCTCCTATCTCCCCGTCTCCAAAACAATTTACTTCGAGTTCAGGATCCCCACCTCCTCCTCCTTATCTTCCCTCATATCTGCGCCACCCAACGGATTTGACATCGGTGCCTCCCACGAATTCCAGGCGGGCTCAGGAACGTTTATACGGGCATTGCCTCAGGGTTCGCGTGACTATTCCTTCCGCCCGTTCTCCTATTACTATTTTACAGTGGTTCTTGATAAGCCTACCTTCATTCATGAGCCCGGTGTGCTATTCTTCACTCTCTGGGCCGACCCCGCGCTAGAAATTGAAATTGACCCCGACTCTATCACGGATCCTATCATTGAGACTCGTCGGAGTGCTGGTATCTATGAAGCTACGAGAAGACTCGGCATGCTTTCGGTGGCAGAGAATATCCAGGATAGTGCAAGGAAGCTCACGCGAGAGGAGCATAGGGAATTGTTGTCTTTGTCACCGGAGGAGTACGAAGAGAAGATGAACTTCTAGTGTTTATTGACCAACAAATCAAGGGAAAGGGTATGGCGTCAGAGGTAGTCGTCTCTATGAAAGAGGCGATAAGTAGAAATCTCCCTCATATACCAATTACCCTACACGGCTATCACTTCACTCTAGGTCAATACAGTAAGTATGAATCATAACACACCAACATAAAACATGTTACTGGCTCTAGCTTGATGGTGGTCAATTGTCCTCAATTCTCCTGATGAATCTGGGCGGCAAGCCCCGGTCCGCTTGCTATGGATTTGCAGTTATTCTTCTATATATAGGTAGGCTAGGTGTATTCTTACCTTCGTATACATTTCAATGCTCCATTGGAAGTACAGGAGTAAATAGATCCATGATAAATTAAACATGGCAGAAGCTGTTTACAACTCAACTATAAATCACCTCTACCAGCCTTCCCCTCTCCGCATCCTCATCCCCCATCCCCCGGAACAATCCATTCTGGATCTCCATCAGATCACGCGGATCGCCGAATTCTACCGCTGCCCCGTCATCCAGCACCAGAATACGATCAAAATCAGCGACCGTGCTGAGACGGTGCGCAATGACAAGGAGAGTTGAGGATGTCCGGCCAAACCTTGCTCTCAGCGCCTCCTGGATCTGGGAATCGGTGGTGTGGTCGACCGCCGATGTAGCCTCGTCTAGTATGAGGATCTTGGGGTTGCAGACGATGGCACGCGCGAGACAGAGTAGTCATCAGGAGCAGGGGAGGAAATTACACGAGGCGCTGGGTCTGGCTATTGAGGACATTATCGAGCGGTGGTGGACGGATGAGGAAGCGCGGTTTCCACAGCGGATGCCGCTGGAGCCCCAGGAAGAAGACCTTTTGCGCGTGAGTCTTATCGATCTGTAAACAAAATATAGTACTCATCATGTAGTGGATGGACCAAAACAAGGCCTTGATCCGCCCGTACAAAGAATGCCAAGGGTCCTGGCGACCAGACTTTCTCTTGGAAGAGGATGACCCAAGTAAGATGGAGAGCTTCCGTGTGTGCGAGATCAACGGTCGATTCTGCTGGAATGGCTATGTGCAGACGGCCTTTGCCCAAGAGGGAGTGTCCGTCTTCAATCTTGACAAAAAGGGATTGCAGCACGGAGCCGAGCCGGAAGAGGTATGTAAGCAAGAGTATCATCTAGTAGATTGCTAATCCCTCTTAGATTCTAGGTGGATTGCTTGGGCTGTTCAACCATAATCTTCCACTGCATCTGCTGAAAGAGGAGGAACGTGGGATGGATATCCACATGTTTGTGACTTTTATAGAGGAGCGTCTCGGTATCAGACCACGGCTTATCACTTCCAAAGAGTTGCGATTGATCCCTGATGGAGAGAGCAAGACGGGCTATAAACTGTGCTATCTGGCGAGCCCACAGACGCCGGCTGAGCGCATATTTACCCTTGCTTCTGGCGAGGTGGCCGAGGAGATCCATCAGGTCGGCCTGGGACTCCACCAGTGCCAATTCCGTGCCCTCTCACCAGAGATGATGAAGGAGCTTAGCGTGCGCGGCTTTAACGACATGCGGACCATCCTACTGACGCACGACAAGCGAATGCTGGGAATCATCTTATAGGAGTTGAGTATGCTGGTATCCAGAAAGGTCCTCTCCTCGGAACAAGCCACAAGGCTCGAAAACGGCATAACTCCCACCATCCTGCCCGGTTCAGTCGAGCTAGAGGACTTGATTAGCCGCTCACAGCTCAAGGATGGCTACATTCTCAAACCCATTCGTAGTGGAAAGGGGGCAGGGATCCTATTTGGAGATCAGTTGAGCCACGCAGACTGGCAGGAAAAGTTGGAGCAGCTGAAATGCCCGCAGCTCAAGCCGAGAAAGACGGTGTATGTCGTCCAACGCCGAATCAATCAATTATACTATGATATCACCATTGGACTGACCGGCAAGCCAACTGCCTGCCACATGGTTGGGACTTATCATGCAGTCAACGGGCAATTCCTGGGGCTGGGAGGCTGGAGATGCAGTCCTGGGAGGCTTTGTGCAGTGGCTGATGGTGCCACTTGGACATGTTCTGTTGTGCAATCAAACTAATGGTGTTTCCAAGGTCGTTTGTTTGGTTACATACCTAGGTAGTGAGTCAGATACCGTAATACATGTATGGTCATTATAGACCCACTAAAACTTTAATGACCCACTGATAAAGCTCTGGTGGAGCCGGCAAACTCTCTCTTCCGCCACGGCAATCATCATTGGCCAATGGGAACGCCATCGCACAGTCAGCTCACAGTCAGCGTTCATGGATGGTTCCCAGCGGGTTCCTGACCCAGCAAACGCATTAAGTATCTTCCAAGGTTTTATATATGAGTTAGTAATACAAAATCTACTTAGGTACCCCTTGAGTATAATACTTTTCTGTTGGCCCTCAAACCAGTTAGGGAAAATATAAGAAAACATAAAAACCTTGGAAGATATAGATAGTTCGAAGTAAGTCTTAGTGAACCATACTTTGATAAGAGATAGTTGAAGGAAATTATCTAGGTATCTAACCATTATATACTCCATATGGTGCTATTTCTAACTACGACCAAGTTAATTATATATTCGTATACTGTCATGTCATGCACTTTATATATCGGAGCCTGGTCTATCTGAGCGTAATGCTCAGATATAGTGGTCTTTTGGCCTAGTTTGTAACTCGCCAGTCCAGGGGCAGGTTGTAACATAAATCTGATTGACCGAGCCGATCCGATCAGTTTAAACCAGTTTTGGAGCTCGTGTCCAGCTCTACCTCATGTTGGATGGAATATTCAATCAAAGATGAAAGGGGAACTTGCTGTGTCGGGCTATGCGCCTCGCACAGCCAGCAAATTAAAACCTTTCCTCTTGTCTTTTTGCCTCGTTAGTCTGCTCTGCCTCGCCTTCTATCACCGTCTCCCCGGCGTCACCCTTCTTCGGCCTGCCCGCCATTTCAATCTTGAACAACTGCTCCTCTCCGTCCCCGACGCTACCAAAGCCCGCCAATGGAGTGTCCACTACACCTCTGAGCTCCGTTTCCCCGGCCAAACTCTCCCCAGTGGTCATTGGACACAGGAAAAATGGAAAGAGTTCGGCATCGACACGACGTCCATCCAGGCCTACCCCCTACCACTCCCATTGCCGCTTCCCGTGTCAAGCCGCCTAGCTCTTGTGAATCAGACCGATGGGGAAGTGCTCTACGAGGCCGCGCTGACCGAAAATGCAACTGATCCCAACCCACTCACAGGCGAGATCCTGAATGCCCCCCAGTTCGTTGCTTTTGCTCCCAGCTTCAAAATCAACGCGTCGGTTGTGTATGCCAACCATGGACGGCTGGAAGATTTCGAGGATCTGGCCCGGGCGAATGTCAGTGTGATGGGGAAGATCGCCATCGTCAAGTTTGGGTTGCCGGGGAGCAAGTTCTACGAGATTCTGCAGCAGACGGGCATTATGGGATGGATTGTCTACCGGGATCCAGAGGTGGATGGGGAGATTACCGAGGCGAATGGGTATCTTGCGTATCCAGATGGTCCGGCTCGAGCACCGAGTAGTGTTTTTCGACAGAATGGGGCGCATCCGGGTAGGACTCTTTTCTTGTCGGGTTGTTCTCTTGCTTACTTGAACAGGCAAGGATAGTGAACCGGTTCCTGCCATGGCCATCTCATATGCGGATGCGGTTCCAATCTTGAAAGCCCTCAATGGCATTGGGCCTCGCGCAGACGACCTGAATTCGAGATGGCAGGGCGGGCAACTCGGATACCGGGGCGTTGGATACAACGTTGGCCCTTCGCCTCCGAACATTGTTTTAGTCATGCAAAACAAAATGAAGGACTCTAACGCGACGCTATACACGTTGGTTGGCGAGATCGAAGGACAAATCAAAGACGAGGTTGTCATCATCGGCAACCACCGCGACGCGTGGGCCACGGGTGCTACCGACCCAGCCAGCGGCTCTGCGGCCTTGAATGAGGTCGTCCGCGCCTTTGGAACGGCGGTCCGGAATGGCTGGCGACCTCTGCGGACTCTTATCTTCATCAGCTGGGACGGCAATGAAATAGGCTTATTCGGATCCGCAAATTAGGTCAAGAATAATCCCCCTGGCTGTTCAACCGCACCGTCGCCTATTTAGAAACCGTCGCGGCGGTCTCGGGCCCCAACTTGTATTTCCAATTCAGTCCGTTGCTTGGTTCGCTGGTGCGCGACGTGACGGGTCAGATCCAGTCCCCGAACCAGACGATAGCAGGACAGACGGTGCTGGATGTTTGAGGCGGCGACTTACGGGCCGAAGGGGGTGGTGACTCGACTCCATTTAATCGAAAAACCATCACGTCTGGCCAGTTTGGGTTTGAACGAGTATATGCGCTCATCAAGTTTGGTTTATCACTTGTGTCAATAGGTGTACATAGAATAAGTCCCCATCGTTCATTGGTGTTCCTGTCGCATAGAGGGTACTATGTAGCCTTGGAAGTAAATAGCTCAACAATTTACCAGATTGAAACAGTCCATGATGATTTCTCGCGTCATCTAGAGCTAGGTGAGTAGGCAGTGCTGCTGAATTATTTGGACCGCCGCAGCCGAATTCTGTTACATCGGGGACATGAATACAAATGCAAGTTGCTTCGCAACACACTAAGCAGGGGTCTAGCGCTAACTAGTGCCAAAGTACTTTTTCTTTCCCTGTTCCTCGAGTCTGCCTTGGAAAGGAATAGCCTTGTGTTGACATTGAGCTTGGATTGTGGCGCCTGGAAATCAAGTCAGGTATTCACTAAGACAGGTCATGTTTTATGATATGCTTCATTGCGCGAAGCAGAATCAGATAATCAGACCAACAAAACACAGCCTCGTCGGCTACTGCAGCTTCCCTGTTAAGCGCTTTCACCTAGGAAAACCGTTGCCTACATTGCGTAGGTGGCTATGCTGCTAGCTGTGGCTTCACAGGAAAGCGTCCTAGAATTGGATGCCGTTGGCAATATAAAACAAGAGGCTAGTCCTACCTGAAAGTGCTTCAACTGAGCCATTCTCAAGAGTACTCAGCTCTTGTCCGACAACCCTTCTCTGAATTATTGACCAGCATCATATTTATCAATCCTTATATCAACTCAATGTCGTGTCCTACCAGTTGCACCCCATTGAAACGAGTTCTCAATGACCGCGTCATCCCCCTAGATGGAAAGATACCTTGCCTGGGAAAGACCCTCAAAGGCCAATACTGCAAGGCTCCGCTAGCGCGTGATAGACAAAGCGAAGCTTTATGCTTACTTGAGTGCTGCATCTATTGCTCCAGACCAGGTGGCCGACCACTGAAGTATGCGATCAAAGATCTCGCAATCTTGCTCGTCCACCAGCAACACAGTGGCGAGCAGGATGCTGCGTATACTAGATGGAGAAATATGGTGAAGGAATATAAGAATAAGAGGGAGAAGCCCCCGCGGAAACACCATCGAGAACTTGATCAAACCCTGGATCGCCCGCAGGAATATTATTCCGATATGTTCGACGACCGTGTCGCTCCACAACCGGTCAAACATCGAAGGGACACGCATATTGTTAAGCGCAGTGAATCAGATCGAACCAGTCGCCTGAGCTATCCAGCGACACCCAGAACCCCGCAACATCGAACCATCGAGGCTAATGAACCCATCGAGGATGACAAGCCTGCTCAACACCCGGTGATTCATCCCACTCCGCCCAGCTCGGAATTGCCAACAGAAGGCTGCAAGTCTGTGTCTGTGTCTGTCCAAACCGAGGCCTATGAGGTATACACACCTATCACCTTGTGGTCATGCTTGTTCGGGTTAATCCTGCAATGCGGGGTCATGATTTGCAGCCTTTTTAAGATTCAATTTGGTCTTGTTCAATTTTGCGACCGTGCAGGGAATGTGAAAAAGGGCTCACTGGACTTTAAGTTCGAATTGGGTATCCGGTGGACATTAACGGGTTTGATGCCACGATGGGTGATTTTCATGGGGACTTCCTTTGTAGCATTGTCTGTTTTGCTTGGGTCATGGCTTGGGTTATTGTGTATATGTTGGATTGGGGTGCAATTGCAGGAAAGTCCTATCGAGTTGAAATATGAAGCCTATAGGCTGAGATAGGAATATAAACATTTGAAGCGTTGATGAATTCCGCATTCCACCGGAGATCAATTCGGTCAAATGGGGAACATTTGATTGGTTGGATAGGGTAATGTGGATAGCCCAGCTAAGAAATTGAAAAGGATCACTTTGACTTGGAAACAAATAGAATAATATGTTCATCTTGTTATAATATATATGAATAGGTATATATATAAGATATAAGATATAATATTACCGTTAAATGGTGGAATAAAGAACATCCCCCAAAAGGGAAATGCTTGGACAAATAAGAAATCAGTTAATTCCAACCCGAGGATAACCACACACTAATTAACAATGTTGGGATAACTCAACAGAGTATGGAGTACCCAGGTATATATGGAGTACGAATCAATTCAACCATATCACATGAAGAATCAAATCACCAAAATAACACTCCCCCTGTAAATCTTACTCCAATGAGCCGACCGCACGTCTTCTCCACACGATTGTCCCGGTGAATCACTCCAGGGTCTGCCCCTCTCGAGTCATCCCGTTATACTACTCCATAGGTACTCTCTCTCTCTCTCTCTCTCTTTCCTCTACTTTCTCTCTCCTCAACATATATAGCACCATGTCACTTCCCATTCGATCATTGTCACGAACGTTGGTACGGTCCTACGGTACTGTCCAAGGTCCACCCAGTGCCTCGTTGAGTAGCATCCCCATCACTTTAACCGACGCTACGGGTGCTACCGCTCCCCGGACCACTTGGACTCGAGATGAAGTCAAGCAAATTTATGAGACCCCATTGAGCCAACTCACATACGCGGCAGTAAGTGAAATTTACACATAATTAACATAATAACCCTGATACCGAGTTTGAGCTAAATTGATCCTCCTCTAGGCTGCTGTGCACCGCCGCTTTCATGACCCCTCCGCTATTCAGATGTGCACCTTGATGAACATCAAGACCGGTGGATGCAGTGAGGATTGCTCGTACTGTGCTCAGTCATCCAAGCACAACACGGGCCTAAAGGCCACCAAGATGAGCCCCGTCGACGATGTCCTCACCAAGGCTCGCAATGCCAAGGCCAATGGTAGCACTCGGTTCTGTATGGGCGCGGCTTGGCGCGACATGCGTGGCCGTAAGACCAGTCTCAAGAACGTCAAGCAGATGATCACCGGAATCCGCGAGATGAACATGGAGGTCTGCGTGACCCTAGGCATGATCGACGAACACCAGGCCAAGGAGCTGAAAGACGCTGGCCTGACCGCATACAACCACAACCTCGATACCTCGCGTGAATTCTACCCCACCATCATCACCACCCGCTCCTACGACGAGCGCCTGAAGACGCTCTCGCACGTGCGCGATGCCGGTATCAATGTCTGCTCGGGCGGTATCCTCGGTCTGGGTGAGACTGACACCGACCGCATTGGTCTCCTGCACACGGTTTCCAGCCTGCCTGCCCACCCCGAATCCTTCCCTGTTAATGCCCTCGTCCCCATCCCCGGTACTCCTCTCGGCGACCGCAAGATGATCCCCTTCGACCGCTTGCTGCGCACCGTCGCCACTGCCCGTATTGTCATGCCCAGTACCATTGTCCGCTTGGCTGCCGGTCGCATCGCGCTTTCGGAAGAGCAGCAGATTGCCTGTTTCCAAGCAGGTGCTAACGCTGTCTTCACCGGTGAGAAGATGCTTACTACTGACTGCAATGGCTGGGACGAGGACCGTGTCATGTTCGACCGCTGGGGATACTACCCCATGAAGAGCTTTGAGAAGCCTGGATTCAAGGCTGATGCCACTGCTCCTACTCCGCCTGTGAACTCCGAGGCTACTTCTGCGCCGGTCGCAGCGAGCGCTTAGATTTATAGTTAGATCTGTTGCTTCTATATGACTGCGTCAATAGTTTGGATCGAAACGATCCTGCAAAATGCAATTGTCAATGATACAATTCAATAAGACTTCCACCTTCACTCCTGGGTACATGACAAGGTACCCGTGAAGTCATGGTAATATAATAATGTATCAGGTCAACCGCCCTTGCCCAATGATAAGGTGAATAGCCAGATACTAAAACGAGAAAACGTATATTTCCACATCGTCAAGACGAACTTGTCGACCTCGGGAACACTATATAGGTACAAAGCATCAACCACTACATATGTACCTAGGTAGTTGATCCTCTTCTGTGTTTTCCCCCACCCCCTACCCCATACCCCGCTTGCAAAATTCAAGACTTCACGTCCAAAATTTTAGTATTAAGCCCAACAATGATAGAAACCCCAGAGCCAATCGAAATCCATTGGTGCTCCACTCTAGGCGATCAAATGCTGCAATACCGAGGCTCAAGCCGGACGCATGGTGTCAACTCGACATATTGGCCCACGTCTTCTTCACCTACTATTCGGCAGAGATCAATCTTCACACGTCGGATCGCAGTGGTTCCCCTTTTTGTTTCAATCATGAACCCCACGATCTTCATTTTAGTCTCCAGGTGAGGTTTAGCCACCCTCCCAACGCCAACTTTTTGCGGAGAATTCACATGCTTGCGCCGATCCTCGCCAAATCCGCATAGTCTCTACCATCTCCTATTCACTCGCTTTATAGGTTTTGTTGGGGTAAACTGACCCATATATGGATATTGACACATCACTATTCACATGGTGTTTCATAACCGATGCCCTCACGGGAATGATATAAACAGAATGATTGCCGCCATGGATGGCCGAAAAAAATCCAACTCCAACATCCATCATGGATTCCAAACCGCTATCCAAAGATTCTATGCAATCAACATGGCGCACAGCCCCTCGCAGCGAATGGAATATCAGTCATTACCTGCTCGACGCCCTCAACGCCCACCCCATCGACCTAAACAAGGAGGTGCCAGTGCATAGCAAAGACGAGAAAGTGCCCTACATGCCGCAGTGGTATCTCCAACGCTGGGTTCTCTTCTACGCAGCCCTTCCCCTTCTCCTGCACGAGACGTACATGGCATTCACCGGCCGCACCATGGGCCCAATCACAGCCTTCAACTTCTACTTCTTCGCCTTCAACGCAACAGTAATCTACCAAGTACACATCCTCCGACGTCTCGGCCACAAATACGGCTTCTTAGACGGCGACAAGCACACCCGGGATGGCGTCCCCGACGTCGGCGTCGCGAAAGTAGTAGCCTCCCTATACAAAACCACAGGATCGCGAATGATCCTCTCAATCCTCCTCTCCTACAACAAAACCCAAAGACCCTCACAGATGTCCTGGGTCTGGCTCCCCCTTGAAATCGGCCTGTATGGCATCGTCCTCGACTTCTGGTTCTACTGGTACCACCGACTGATGCACGACGTGAGCTATCTGTGGAAATACCACCGTACCCACCATCTCACTAAACATCCGAATCCGCTCCTCGCCGCGTACGCAGACCACGAGCAGGAATTCTTCGATATGGTTGGCGTGCCCATGATGACGTACTTTACTTTGAAACTGTTTGGTTTGCCCATGGGCTTCTATGAGTGGTGGGTTTGTCATCAATACGTTGCGTTTGCGGAGGTCTTTGGTCATAGTGGACTGCGTATGCATTCGGGTGTGCCGTCGACGATGGGATGGTTGTTGCAGATGCTTAGTGCGGAGATTGTTATCGAGGACCATGATTTGCATCATCGGAAGGGTTGGCGGAAGAGTCATAACTATGGGAAGCAGACGAGGTTGTGGGATCGGATCTTTGGGACTTGTACGGAGCGTATTGAGTCGGCGGAGGGAAATGTGGATTATGAGAATACGGCGGAGATGCCTTTGTTCTAGGGGGTTAGGTGGTTGTTGTTCGTGTGAATGATGAGAAATTGGACTGGAATGATGCTTGTTTCTTGATTTTGGATTATCCTCTATATTATAACTAGCTCAGTCTTTTATGAATTATGCCACTTTATGACTTGAAATGTGAGAAAGGATAGAATCGACACATCCATTAAACATATCGAGCTAGATTGCCCTTGGCGTGTAATTTGATCCTATTTTCTTTCTGCTCTCTCTTTCGTTCTCTCGCACGTCCTGAAGCTACAACTTCCGAGCAACGAAATAACACTACGCCGCCTCGTCCGATCAGCACTCTCCGGTGCCACACAAATCCCCATCCTTTTACCCAAGATCTTTAGACCGTTTGTCTGTAAGAGTTACTTTCAACACAAGAAAATAATACATATTACTCGTCTCCACAGCTACAGAGAAAGAGCTTCACCCACATTTACCGATTACCTCTGCAACTATATGAGATTATTTCCACGTAGAAGGGAAGATATCTTCGCCGCCATATCCCCCCCCCAATATACATCAACGACATCCTGTTCAGGAGGGAAAGACATATCCGATGACATGGCAATGAGCATGGGTCCTGCATGTCGTAGATCATCCCGCCTGCCGTCTCCCATCATCCCCGTAAACCCACATATTACATTCCAGTTTCTACTACAGGCAACATGCTCGAGTTACTATCGTCAAGCACGTCTATTACAATGCCATCTTTCCCATCACGGGAATCTCAATAGAGTCTGCATATACAATATTTGTCTTTAGGGTCATGCAATAACATGGCATGTATGCCGAGGACGGAGCAGGTTTAACGTAGTTATGAAAGATTCTCTGCCATAATATAGATAGATCTTTTACGTTTGGTCAACGCTTGGTGTGTGTAATACCCTGCTTCTACTAGGGGGGACACTATATCCAGCCCCCCTATTCGTAATACCTCTGTTATCCTCATATGCTGTATACCGATAAATGATTACATGCGCGAGCGATAATGGAAGACACTGGGTACCTCCCGGGACACTCGGGGTTTATTTACCTTTAGGAGAAGCCGACATTTGTCCGAACCATATGTCAGGGTTACTCGGATTAATCTATATATAGTCCAAGGCATAAAATAACTAAATCTTGCGAAAGTACGGGATAGGTCGTCGGTGAGATTTTGTGTCTCGGAGAAATGGGCGATGAAAAAGTTGGAATGGCGCTACCCGCGTTAATTCCCACGTGGTTTCAATCCAGGAGAACCGCTAACTAGTTAGTTAACTAGTTAGTTAGATTCTGTATGTTGTACATGTACGACTATGTCGGGCAGGAAGAAGCGAAAGTTTAATCTGATTCATGAAAGGGTGAAATTAGTCTGAGACAATTTTACAGACCAAGCCTAGCAACTTTCCAACCCAGTTGCGAGGAGCTAAGTATTTACATAATATACAAGATCCAAATTCGTGACGGCGTAGGCTAATCTATAATAAGCCAGGATATAAATTGGGTCCGCTCTAACCCCCCAATGAGAGATCCCCCATATGTTCTTTCACAGGCTGCCGAGAATCCGAGATTACCGAGATCTCCACTTGCTTCGTGATACCGGGGGCAGAGAAAGTAGGCGAATCAGGCGCCCCTCCTATAGATGTGCTCGTATGCGCGCTCTGGTTATTCTCCAGAATACGATCGATGCTATTATTTTCAACATCGGACTTGAACCTGCGGGTGCGGCGCGACTGGTTCGTCTCGTTTGGGGCAGCCCCCCGATTTGCGCCCGCCGAATGGCATGCTGAGTTCGTAGGAGCGGGTGTATTTGCCGCTGGAGAGCTTGCGCACAGACGAGATGATCAAGGGGCGGATGCAGGGGATCGAGGAGGTGATGATGATAATGACGTTTTCGATGTATCCCCAGCGGAGTAGTTCGATGCCGCCGGCGGCTCCGGTATTCGTGATGCTGGGTACGGAGTCCAGTTTGGTTGTTTTGATGATAGATGCGACCATTGCGCTGTAGCATTGGGTTAGTACATTGTGGTTATACGATTTGGGGCAGAGGTACTTACACGATACCCAAACTCAGAAGACCGATCAAACTTATTTTGATGCGTAGTTTCAAATTCAGGTTCCAGAATACCACTGTTGGGAAGACGGCCAAAAACAGATCGGTGGCTGAATTGAATGTATTGGAGTAGTAGGCGAATTTGATGACTGCTTTCGAGTCGCCACAGGTTGTCGAAAGTGCGACTTTGGGGTCCCATAGAGCCTCCACATCGCGACAGATGCTAAGCGGCAGTACGGCCGATGCAACGTTCCCAGCGAATTGTATCACTAGAACAGCCCATAGCGCGGCTTGGTAGTACTTGTTGGTTCCGAGGAGGGGGAGGATGTAGAGAATGAACGCGGAGCGGGCTATAGTGGTGCTGATGGTAACGATTGGCACTTGGATTGCGATGTTCTTCAAGACTTCTTGCTTATCATTTGGTGGTATTGTGTCGAGGTTCTTCCCGAATCCATGCTTAACCGACAAGGTCAAGAATACTGTCGATACGATCGCTAGAATCTAGAAAGCATTGAAATCAGTCCATGAAGGTGATCCACAGGCTAGTCAGGGAGATCTACCTCAGCAAAAATCATCAGGCCATCATCGACGCCAAACCGATTGATCTTGATTTTGCCGACGATCCGTAAGATAACGATCACCGCAGCAATGGCCACCGCAACCCAGATCCCCTTCTCCAGGGCTGGGCCAAGATCAGTTTGTGACATTGTGTAGAGATAAACAAGCTAACTTGACAGCATTGTCAAACGGGCGATCTCTGGTATAAATGAATGCGGATTTACAGTTGAAATAGTGAACGGGTACAAGTCCGGAAGAAGAAAGAGTTTAGAGAAACCTACCTACTCGGTCATCAGCTCCGGCATACTTAGAAGACTTCTAAGGTTTCTAGAACCTTGGTCAACTGGATACATAGCGGAGTAATAACTCGCCAAAAAATTGAGAGTATCTGTGGCGAGGCCATGGATTGGTTGTTCTTTAACCTTGGATCGTAAAAACTTCGACGATCATTTCCGTTTTAGTCGATTAGCGAAGGTTCCAACCAATGTTTCAAGGCGACGAGGTTCCCCAAACTCAATTTTATGCCTCTGCGGTTTCCTCCAATTACCGATGTTGCTCCGTAAGTCATTACAATATGAGTTATATTTGTGGGGCGAGAGTGATTTCAATGAGACCAAGAATTGGTTGATATGCTGTCAATTATAATATTAAATATAATATGAAGTTTTATCACATTAACTGTTGAGGTCAGTCATCACCTACCTACCAAGGTAGGTATGAAAATACTACCCCTGAACGGGGAAATTGTTGCATGCAAGCCTCAAGCCACCAAAGCATACAATATACAATATTGAAGGTGCACTGACCTCCGAAGAGATGAACCTCAGCCCTGGAACCATTAGGGCTCACTGAGGTGGGTCTTGGTGGCGTTGAACCCAAAAGACCGATTGGATAGATTTCATTCGGGTTACACTGAGAACAGGTGAATTCCAGATCTTAGCCTTTTTTAGCGTGTCCGGGACCTCCGCGTCGTAAAAAAAAAAGTTGTCCGAGATACAATGTTGTATGTTGTAGTTATGTTGTAGGAAGAAGATAATGTTGATGGTAAAGAAACAACCCCATTGTGCTTACAAGAGAAGCAATAGCCATGCAATCATATTCCGGCTAGTGCAGATCACAACTACAATGCATCACCCTCGCATGAACAGGTATATTGTATGTCCAATATATGTCCAATAACTATATGTAGTACGTACTCCGTATCTTGTACCTGCATTAAAATTTAATATCTCGGTTCCACCCCGATTAAATCCCCCCTCTCCACAATCAATCAATCCAACTAGACGTACTTGGCAACATCTCCGAGTTGTTTTTCATGTTCAATCGAAGAATGTGAAGTCCAGTTGTAAATAAAAGAGGGTGATCGACACCTCTACCTCCATTTTTCCACAACCTTATCACATCCATCTCCTCCACCCCCATGAAGTGGACTGCGGCTTCCCTCGTGGCTCTCGCCGCACCGGCCATCGCATCACAATGTCACTGTTTGCCAAGTGATAGCTGTTGGCCTGCTCCATCGGCTTGGGCCTCCCTGAATAGCACAGTTGGTGGTCGTCTGGTTGCGACCGTGCCAATTGGTAGCCCCTGTCATGAACCCAACTACGATGCTGCCGCATGTGCCGCGCTCAAGACAAGCTGGAATACCCCAGAGCCCCAGTAAGTCGTGCGAGTCTGGGAAAAATAATTGACGTCGCTAATCGCCGCCAGTCTTGACTCCTCTTCGTCGGTGATGCAGACGTACTTCGCCAACCAGACTTGCGACCCGTTCACCGCCAAGTCGAAACCATGCCTCCTTGGTAACTACGTGAACTACGCCGTGAACGTCTCTTCCAGCGATCAGGTCGTTGCTGCTGTGAATTTTGCCCGTGATAACAACATCCGCTTCGTGATCCGTAACACCGGCCATGAGTAAGTTGCCTCTACGGTTTTTCTACAGATCAATGCTAATATGCCGTAGTTATCTTGGTCGTTCAACTGGTGCCGGTGCCCTCTCTGTATGGACTCACCACTTGACTGATATCGAATACAAGGACTGGTCTAGCCCGACCTACCAGGGCCCTGCGTTTAAGGTCGGTGCCGGTGTGGTTGGCTACCAGATCCTCGAGGCCGGATCTGCCAAGGGCCTCGTCGTCGTCACTGGCGAATGTCCCACGGTCGGTCTCGCCGGTGGTTACACCCAAGGTGGCGGTCACTCTGCCCTCAGCACCAATTTCGGTCTTGGGGCTGATAACACCCTAGAGTTCGAGGTTGTCACCGCTGCTGGCAAGTTGGTCAAGGCCTCACGCTCCGAGAATGCCGATCTGTTCTGGGCACTGAGCGGCGGTGGCGCCGGCAACTACGGCGTTGTCATGTCCATTGTTGTCAAGGCACACAAAGATGCGCCCATTGCCGGTGCCTCTCTTCAGATGACGGCGGCCAACATCAGCACCGATACCTTCTACGAAGCTGTTTCGCAGTTCCACTCTCTGTTGCCCGCCATGGTCGACCAGGGTGTAACTGTCATCTACCAGATGACCTCGAGCTTCTTCATGATCAACCCCGTCACAGGCTACAACAAGACTACCGACGACGTCAAAGCCATCCTCGAACCGTTCACCTCGAAGCTCACCGAGCTTAACATCAAGTATAAAGCTAGCTTCAGCGAGCACAACACGTACTATGACCACTACAACAAGTACATGGGCCCTCTTCCTTGGGGTAACCTAGCCGTGGGCTCGTACCAGTATGGCGGCCGTCTAATTCCCCGCAAGTCCCTAGAGCAGAACCCGACCGGGATTGGTTCAGCACTGCGCAGCCTGACCCAAGCGGGTGTGATCGCCGTCGGAGTCGGAATGAACGTCTCAGCCCCGGTCAACGTCTCGAACGCAGTATTCCCAGCCTTGCGCAACGCAGCCGTGACCATGCAAATCGGCACACCGTGGAACGAAACCGCGCCTTGGTCCGAAATGCTCGCGGCCCAACACAAGATGACCACCGAATACGTGCCTCGGCTCGAGGCCGTCACGCCGGACAGTGGCTGTTACCAGAATGAAGCGAATTTCCGCCAGCCGAACTGGAAGCAGACCTTCTTCGGAAGCAACTATAACCGTCTGCTCGCTGTCAAGCGCAAGTGGGATCCTTCTTCGTTTTTCTATGCCCTCAAGGCGGTCGGCAGTGATGTCTGGTCTGTGTCTGAGTCGGGGCGGATGTGTCGTGCTTAGACTTGATAGATTTGGTTTGATTTCATGGCATAATGTAAGATAGCGATGCAACATTCCTGGTTCAGATCTTTTATATATATTTCGTCTGGTTGTCTATATTAGATCATTAGCGTGTTTTGGCGTATAATGACTTTTTCCCATTGCCTTTATAAAATTCAACTCAGAGTAATTTCTCACTTTTTGGATATCTAGACCCTCGAGGTTTCATCCGACCCCACCAAAACCCAAACATCATCATAGAAATACATATAAGCACAAAATCAACGAGATACAACGTCTACTCATGACTGTAATGGATACCCTTAATTCCCCATAACATATTCAATGACTCGAACAATAGATCGGATAAGTACCATGTAGACCGATGCAGCGAAGAGAGCCGAGTCAAGTCAATGACCAGCCACAACGCACAGCCAAGGACGCCCGCTGCCTTCATGGGACTCTCTCTCTCAGTACGGCATCTGTATCCAGATTTATTAGTCCTGGAAGCAACTATTTCTGTGAATTTTCATGACGAAGTATTTTTAGGCAGCGCGCAGCTGACTGTCGGCCTGGAGAATGAATGTCCAGCCTGGATATCATTATGGGATGTACTGGTCCCTGTCACTTTCTGGACTACCTACCAATCCCATAGGTGTGGGCGCAGTCTACTCCGTAGTAGGCTACATTTAGGACTTTGGCTTAACTATGGAGGGGGAAAGTGGGGATATGAGTAGACTGGAATTACTTCTCGTACAAAAGAATCTACCTCGTTTGTTCGGTTCTACGTTACACCTCGAAGATTGAGGTCTTCTATAAATCTGCAGAGTGATTTTTAGGGCTTGTTATTCCGCTAAGCGGAGATTGCGTGGGCGGCGTGGGCGGCGTGGGCGGAGATAGGAAGCGGGTAGCTCAAAACGGCCTCTTCAGGCAGTGGACCTCTCTAGGACATCGCTTTGAATGAAAATGTTGTGCTTAGTGGCTCTCTTTTACCCGAATGTATGATATATTGGATCTATTTATTATATAGTACTTCGAGAAGAATACTAATTACACGCCAAAAATATAGCTCCATGCTGAATCTATGTGCATAAATCGAAATTCTATATACCCCAAATCAAATGCTATCGCCCAACAAAATACATATCAAAACATTTTATATACAAACAACAAGCCTAGACCTCGGCATTGCTAGCGCAAGAGAAGCTGTTGTTAGAGGCGGTATCATGAATAGCCTTGCCGGAAACGTAAAGGCCAAGACCACACATGCAACCACCAATCAGAATAATGCACACGTTCACAACAGTGAGAACAATCTTCCGAGGAGAGGAGAACCACCTGCCCTTGTTGATGTGCAACCAGTACACACCACCAAGACCGTAACTGAACCAACTAGCGAACAACGAGCTAATCAGACTCAGCAGATCACTGAAGACGGGAATGGCATCGGCAATGATCCAGGCAATAACCCAGCAGGTAAGAGCAATGCCAACCCAGGAGCCAACGGCAACCAGGTCACGCTTGTGCATGCGGTCAGTGCCACGGAACAGGCGGACGTAGATGTACTTAAGACCGATGTGGCCGTTGACGACACCAGCACCGATAATCTGTGAGAGTGTTAGCAGCCGAAGAGAGAGGATAAGGATAGAATGGGGGAAGACAACGTACGGTTGGGATGGCAATTCCATAAGCAACCTTCTTCAGAATAGGGCCCGCAGATCCAAGCGCGGGAGATGTGACATCCTGGCCGACGTAGTAGTAGATCACCACGGCCGCAACGGTGTAGAAGATGATTTCAAAGGTCTGCAGCATGATCAGAGCCTTGGGGAAATCCCTAGGTTCCTCCATCTCAGCGATCAGACCGAAGAAAGCCACGTGGGCGCAGTAGGCAAAGACGATGTTAGTGACCGCGCTGAAGGCCTGGACCAGATCCGTATCGATGGTAGCCTTGAGGTTCTGACCACCCTGGT